AGCAGCATTAAGACACACATATAAGCTATACTGTATTTTCTAAACTGCCTCTTTGTCCAATATTATTTTACAATCCATAATTATCATGTTGCATATTTTTTCCCACTTATGCTGAAATTATATACATATTATAACTCAAAAAAAAACATAAAGGAGTTTTGCAGTATCCCTCTCCTTTCAATATTCCCAAGTAGCACAATTGGTAAACAGACAATCCAGGAATACATTAATTTGCAAAAACAGTGATCTTAGTTATGAAAGTGTGTCAAAAACTTGTGTTCCTCAAGCTGCAATCTTCAACATGTTTTATTATTGGCTGTCGATTTGGAAAGTTTGCTCAAGTAGAGGTGAAACTATGGCAAGAAAATAGCTCTGGCTTTGGATCATGGCTTTTTGAATAACTATTTGGTAAAGGAAAATGTGTTAACTTCTAAAATAATGTTTCTAATGGCACTTATCTATAATATAATCGAAAATGAACTTATCAAATATTGAAATTAACAGTGTATTAATGAAGTTTATGCGAAAGTAATTTAATCAAAGTAGTCAAATCCTGTTTAAGCGATCACATGACACACTGCAAGAATCATCACCAGGATTCCCACTGCAAACTCCTCCTATCTGTCCACTCACCAGAACTGAAAAACAAATACATGATGGTAATAATACGAAACATTCTTGGCTTATCGCACCTCTCTAGGATATGAAAAGAAATCTTCCACCAACGAAAACACAGCAGCACACACAGCAGACTTTCACACACACTCGAGTTTCACCTGCTCCAAACATGGACCCTGAATGCACCCACTGTTTTTGGACTTCTCTCACATGTTTATATATGACCGATAACTAACTTGGCGAGAAATTGCAAAGATTATGGTGACAAGCTGCAGAAATGGCTACAACTATAGATCTTTGCATGTTTGCATTTGAAAACTAATGTGGGCTACATTTGACAATGTTAGCCCTTCAAAGAGCATGTGCCTTTTCCCACAATAAAATATAACACCATAATTTCAACATCTGGACTTAAACTGTGAATACACACTCTTGAAATATGCCTTGCTTCTGTAAAATAAATGAAACTATATTCTCCAGGCATAAACATAAAGAAATGAACATTGAAAATCAGCTATTTTCAATCCAAAATGTCAAAACACAGAAACCATAATTTCTTTCACACACACTACATTTCTGACAGCAGCAGATCTGTTTGGCACGAGGCTTTGGAAAACAGAATAACTTTGTGTGAATATTATTTGGGAATAGTTTCCTTCAGTGCCCGTTGTTTGACTTGTGCAGCAGCAGTGTGTAACTTTAGCGAGGGCAGCTTGTAATGAGGCACTTGGCTTCATCCATCCATTAGCAATCACTTTTTGGTGCCAGGCATTAGCGCTCCCTGTTTACAAGCTGTGACCTCCTCTGAATACATTAATCGGGTTTGAGAAAGAAATTAAAGAGGATATCAAACAAACAATAACGCACAGAAATGCCTTAAATATTGCTGATAATTTCAAGTTTGTAATCGCGTATCATACTCTGCAGTTCAGATGCATGCAGTGGAGGCCCGGGGCTCTGTTAATGACGCACCTTCATCAGCTTTGAAATCTATTGAAGTCAATTTGAAACGTTCACAATAAAAAGGATTAATTAATTCCGTTTTTTTACGCAGTGGAAAGTCCGGTGCGCGTCACTCCATGATATGAGTGCTGACAGGAGCCGATGGCAACGCACTGGAAATTGCTGCGCTTTGGGAAAACACAATCAAGAGAGCGAATCATCTCGGCTGCCATCACGCACGCCCCCTTTTCTATATTAATAATAAAGAAACTTAATCTGAGGCGAGGAGATGTTTAATTTATTATTATGTAAGCCATTTGAAGGGTGATTGTATAGTAATTGCTCATTAGTCGTGTATATTTATCGCTGCACCTTATGTCAAGGCCAAGGGAATTGTCTCTCGTTTCAAGGGATCAATTTCAGAGGCAATTTGGAAGACAGGCCCGGATCAAGTTAGGCCTGACGTGGCGCGCTGCTGTGACACAGGCCTGAGCTATGGCGCGGTGGACAGGTGCCATCCCCCTCCCAGCCCCAGCCCCAGCCCCCTCCTTCACAAGGACAGCATGCACCAGGGAGGCCTTTTAAACGTGTGCGTAATGGATAGGTGGACCCGCGCGCGACCTGGTCTCCTTTTACGCACATTATGTTGACAAACTATCCAAAGCCAGTCTCTCAAAAGCCACTTCAAACCAACTTAAGAGATCCCCCTTCGATCAATTATTGACTTCGGACGTGGCTGATACTGGGCCTGAATGCGTCGCTTCCTCTGCCATCTCCCTGCGCGGCCCTGTCCACATTAGCAGTGTCAGCGGACGTAATTAAAGCTACTAATTGCAGATTAGAGGTTTTGGGTCAGTGGGGTCACTTGATAGGAGCTTCTACTCTTTTCAGTCATGGATAATCATTTCACGACGTAGCCCGATAAATGTTTAATGCGAAACGTGTCCAATAAAAGCTGCCCAAATATTGCAGACAGAGTGGGATATGGCCGCGGTGTTTGGGATCCGTGTGGGGAGGACCGGGCAGGACACGACGCCATTACTCATCTGTCATTGTCTGCTCTCAACCACAGGCATTTTCACGTTTCAATTATTATTATTTTTTTTCTGAAGGTTTCTAATAGCTTTTGAGTTTGCATTTGTGTTGCACGTTTGTTTATATTCATGTGTTGTATTTTGGTTTTGAGTAAAGCTGATTGTAAAGTTGAGAAAGAGAGAAATTAAGCTGTTTAAGTGCTGTGATATCATTTATTTATTTGATATAGTCTCTACATATATTTTTGTTTGACCTATTTTTTGTTAATCTAAATGCATGGGAAAGGTGATGTCACATAGGGAACAGTTATAGATCACAGACAACAGCCTATCCAGATAAAGTTAAAAACGTTTCCAGGACAACAATGCCATTGGTTTATTTGTGTGTTTGCTCTGTGCACCTCAGTGAAAAGCCCAACATGTAAATGTGCAAAGGGACATTATTGTGTCTAATATCAAACATCTGAGCTGAATACACCGCGCGCCGCTAATGAGCTTTCGCGTCTCCTGTGCGTTCATGGAGTGCGCCAAATTTGTTTTTGCGGCGGATCAAGGCTCGCCGCCTCCACTGCACTTTTCTTTATCTTAATGCCGACTTGAAAAGATATAATTATCTGGTTTGAACAGGACTGCTATCAAATCCTTCTTTGGAGGCAGGCTGGGGAACAGCTCGAGTGGATTGTGTGGCTCCGTGTTGCCCGAGATATGGAGTAATGAAGTTGTGGAGTCCGGAGATACAAAGGGCATTAACCTCATTAGCATGAAACCTTTTCTTCTGACTATTGTGGGACCCTTTCAGGCCTCTAATCCCCCCGTTTCAAAGCTGGGTCTGTAATAAAGCTTTTAGGTTTTTTCAAAGCTAATGGTATTCTCTAAAGATTTTATTGCAGTTATAATCTATGGACCGATTAAAATTCCCCATTTGCCAAAACCTCAAAAAACAGCTTTTTAAAACAATTAAACCACATCACCTCAGACACAAACACATGGCCTCGTGCAGTGTAGTAATAATAATATAATCCAGTTCGAATGTGTGGTTTAAAAGCAGCTTCTTTGTTTTCTGCAGTAAATAACATCCTTCAGAGGAGAGAGAGTCTCTGAGTCTCTGAGTCCAGAGTGAGACAAGATGTGAAACAAAGATCCCATTTTGCGGCGCGCTGCAACCTTCTCTTATCGCGTCGCGAGGGGTAGTCAGATTGTACTAAATAATGTCCAAGCGAGCCCCTTGGATCCGTGGATTAAGAGATTAAAGAGGACCACTGGGCAGTGCACATTAGCCGCATGATAATTGCCCAAACTGATTTGCACTTTCACAAAAGCCCGGGGGCTCTTTGTGGAGCGCGCACAGACAAACTGCCCCAGACTGTCACTGCTCTGAGACAGGATGGACCTGATCCGAGCTGGACCCGAGCTGGACCCGAGCCGGACCAGAGCTATACTAGACCAGCTCTCACCAAACACCTCTCCTCCAAAAGCACACTGAGCGCGTGCACCTGAAACGCACGGCTTCAGTGCCAACACTGCTCTGTCTTTCCTGCTCTTCCTGAGTGAAAATTAAAAGTCAAAAGTAAACTAAACAGATTCTATTTTACAACACAAGACCCTGTCTGTTCGGAGCATTGTAATTAGACTGTTATTGTTTTGTTGTGTTTAAAGGAGTTAAAGGCCGATTACACTGTGCGTAAATGGTAAATATTGACCTTAAACAACAATGGAAATCACAGGTCTAAGCGTCTGTGCGCAACATATTGATAAAACTTTATTGACAAAATATTGACAATTACATACTTCTTGGAAGTATACTTTGTGTTAAAATTGTAGCAAACTTAACACAAACACAAAAATTATGTACATTCTGTAAAAGCCGCTTGTTGTGTCTGTACATGGAATACGTTCAGTGCTTGAGTTTGTTAAAGTCCTTCGCTTTCACTGTGGGTCACGTCCTGGGAGCGCGTGAGGCCGCAGCGCCACATGGGTAAAGCTTTGTGAGAAAGGGTCCAGTACCTTCCCTCTGATTCAGTGGCTCATTTAAAGAAGCTCCCAGAACTGTTTGAAACACTATAACGCAGCACCGCTACTGTTCACATTACTTTTACACGAGAATTAAAGACTGCACAAAATCTCTCAGGTGGAAAATGAGTTCAAAACAAAATGGACCCTTTTCTTCTTTGTTCGTCAAATTAAAAACAACTATTAGGGAGAAAATAGACCATGCAGTTCAAGTTTTACAAAAAGCAGTTGTTTTGGTTTTCTTTATAAAACATCTGAAGTGCAAACGTCCGGAGTGAGAGTGGGGGGTTCAGGCCCAGGCGCGTGGTGCGACCCTCAGCTGCCGCAGATCTGAAATGTGACATTGGCTTTTTACCCCTGGTGAGTCCAGCCTCAGTCTGTGCGCGGGGCGACAGTTCAATCGTCCGATGTGACGTCTATTTCCTCGGGGCTCGACTGCTTCGTGGCGAGTCTCCACCGGTTTATGTGATGCGTGCCTTTCTTCTTCTGCTGCGACTCCGAGCCCTCCTCCTCCAGCTTCTGCCGCTTGAACTTCGTCCTTCGGTTCTGAAACCAGACCTTTACCTGCGAGAAACAGAGAGGGACAGCGGAGTGGATCAGTGTCAGAAGATAAACCCACAAGCCGTGCGTAAAAGGGACGCTTTGTTCGGAGCAGGGCGCAGTGACAGACAGACAGCTGAGGCAAATAACACGGTCAATAGCAACTTGAGACCGGGTTTTATTAGAAGGAATAACAAAGAATAAAAAGCCCTTTATACAGTAAGAATCCGAGTCAAGTTTAAGCCAGTCCTTTGGTTTTAAATGTGAGGGGAATGCATCATTGCTTTGATAATTACGCACGTCTTAAATCAACAATCATGATGAGAAAACTGAACGACAGCCATCACGAAGCTGCTTTTATGTCGCCTCATAAAGTGTATTAAAGTAGGTCAGAGTATTTGGTAACAGCAACGCAAATGGGAATAAATTATAGCCTTCGTGGCAGCCATTTAACATCAATTGCACGCTCGTCCAAATTAACTGCTTTGTCCAGTGTTAACCTGCTCCATACCGCGGGAAATAATGACAATACACACAGGCACACATCCTGAACGGAGCCAAGATGCGTTTAATTGCGCCTAATTGAACGTAGACGAGTTTAATTTCTACCCCAGCTCCTCTCCAAAAAGGCCCAGGCGCACGGGACAAAAGACACGGCATCCATCAAACGCAGTCTACAAAAAAAATGGCACCATCTCCCCCTTTTCCATTCACGCATTGTGCCTGTTCTTCTGATAATATGGTTAACTAGATAATTTGGATCTCCGTTTTTTTTGAAAGCCAACAATCTCCCCTCAAAATAAAGTAATTCAACCTCTCCAGAAATGAGGGCAGGCCTGGACAATACCAGTGGGTTTAGCTCAACAGTGTCTCCCGCTGACTAAAATCTATGGCCCGACACTTTATTATAGTGAGTCTTAATGCGGGAGAAGCGCAAAAAAAAACCAACGTATCAGGATTAATGAGATTATGTGTGCCATATTTCCACGCCGCGTGCTATAATAATAAATACATCTATAGGAGTGCAGGCAGGCGGAGAAAAGCTCTGGGTTGAACTTTAGCAGGAAGTGCAGGGTAATAAGGACCAGTGTCTGACCTAAGCCTAAACCCTAACCTTTCACATGTGCCTGCAGCAAAGCATCGCATATACAGGCCTTTCTTTTTTTTTTGTTTTTTTTTTTACAAACTGCCAACCGGCCACACGTGTGCTCAAATGATGGGATTGTATTTCAACTTAATCCTTAAAAGTTAATCATTTCATGCGACCAAAATATTTGAAAGTGAAGCCAAAAAATCAGCAGTAACCACAGAGCGTAAATAAAAAAAAAATAAAATAAAAAAATAATAATTGGCAAGATTACAACCGAGGTTCCACATATATTTTTGTTCGTGGAATAAATTAGCGTGTTAGTCGATATAATTCATAATCGAAATATAGCAAGCAACAGGGGTTAAGTACACGTCAATGTTGGTGTGTAAGCTCCATGGTGGCATATGCATTTGTCCAAAGGGATTGCTCCAGCGTTAAAAAGCCATGCGTAAAATAATAATTAAAAAATCGACACAAAATATATGTAATCTTAATTAATTTGATCCACATGTCACCAGGCTGTATTGATAATTCTTCCCGTAAATACTGAAGAAGCACACAGGGCCCTACATAAGCAAAGTGCCAAATATCAGCAGCCCACCACACCAACAAGGAGACTAAAGTGGCATTATAGATTTTATTACACATACATTACATTGTATGAAACGCGTCTTACCTGAGTTTCTGTGAGGCTAAGGCTGTGTGCGAGCTGTTTCCTCTCCGCTCCAACCACATAATGGTTTTTCTCGAAGGCGTGTTCCAGCCTCAGCAGCTGCGAAGGGGAGAAGGCTGTCCGGATCCGCTTGGGTTTTCTGGCCAGCGCGTTGTGCAAAAGGAAACTCTCTGGACTCGTTTCGTTACCTAAAAGAAAAGACACCCGCATTTTAACACCTTTTAGAATGCATGGAAATTATAGGTCTCGATGTGAGAATGCGTTATGTACAGTTGGTTCGTGTTTTGTGGGAGAATATGTTTAAAAATATGGTGCGTAATGAAGAAAGATTAAGTGCGTTTCGTGTGTAAATCTGCAGAGAATAACACGTGTAAACAGTGTGTATATTCCAGGTTTATATTAAATTAATTTTTCAACCACAGGTGAATTTACACAAAGACAAATGTCCTTGAATAAAACCTCGTTCACTCAAACACAGCCGAGAATGACCCTGATCTCATGATCCTTTCAAACGTCACTTCAGACTAAACGTGAGCAGTAAAAATCCAATGCAACAGAAAACAATGAAAAACGGCCACGGTTTTCAATATTACTTTTTGAATTTAGGGACCAAAATACGAATCTAACAAACTAACTTTAACTGGTGATGATATTAATGATAAAGGCCTAACCAAACGATAGAAAGGTATTGTGCTTAAAGGCACAAACATTCACATGTAAACAAGACAAAGGAAACACAGATTATTCGTCCGTAATTATTTTTAAAAATATAAATATTTCAATTAACTAAAAAAAAAGAGGTTTTATCGAGGCATATTTATTTAGCTTTTCACTTCATTAGATATTTAATTATTTTATTTTATTTCGTTTTATTTGCATTAGTTTTATTCTAAAACTATTTTCCGAGAAGCAATTTTAACAAATATTTGTCTTTTTATGTTTCGTCTTGAATTATTGCTGGTTCTATAATTTCCACAATTCGAAGGTAAATTCTGAGACTTGAAAATAATGTTAACAATATTGTTATAAAAGGAAACCAAGGATTTGACCTCTGAAGTTTTCTAGTGCGTAACATGTGGCTCCATCCCGTGCGTAAAGGCGTCCGCGCGCACTCACCTTGGAAGCGGTGTCCTAAGTATCTGTAGCGGTGCAGGAGCCAGGGGTAGAAGGAGGAGGGGTCCCGCTGCTGACCGAACAGTGCGTGCGGACTGTGGGGAGAAGAGAGCGGGTGCGCCAGTCCGTGTGGGGGACCCACCGGGTGCACGGGCTGCTGATGAGACACCGCCTCCGCGAACACCAGGTCCGGGTTGGAGTAGACGCCTCGCCCCGAGGAGTGGAAACCGTTGAGAAAAGGGTTCATTTGTCCCGTGTTCGTGTAGCTGAGCGCCGCGGGCCGCAGCGGCTCCTCGGAGCGGGACGCGGGCACCGGACTGTCCTTCGCCACCAGCGACTCTATCGTGAAACACCGCTTGGGTGTCGGCTGGAACATGGTCTGCTGATAGTCCGGGTTCCCCAGTTTAAACTCGAGGTGGAAAGTCGCTTAGAAAATACTCCACAGTGAGAAGAGAAAGAAGAAGCCAAAGTTGGACGCTGCTAGTCCCAGAGTACATCCATGGACGTGTCCTCGCCAGGTTCGCACGGCAGACTTGTTAGTTCATGAGTGTAATTAGCGCTGCAGCCCCATAAACAGCTTCCTCTGAAGACTGTAATGGCATGGTGATTGGTCGCCTCCGACACTCGCTCGCTGCTGCTCGCCTTGAGGAGGAGAACTGGCGCAGACGCTTAAAAAGTGCGTCAATGGGAAGCAGGGGCGCGGAGAGGCGGACTCCAGCGCGCACCACGGAACCGATTCGTCCAGAGAGGAGGCGCGCGTACATGCCGCACACACTCACGCACGGGCACGCGCATACATATCTCCAGGACATTTACACTCGTCTGAAGCAGAGAGCTGCAGGTACACGGCCTCTTCTGCAGCACGACAAGCTCCTCAGATCATCCATGAGGAGTGCGTGTGGCCGTGCGTGTGCAGTGACCACTAAACAGCTGCATTTTATTCAATTTAATCCATTATTTATTAACAATATAAATAAACTGGATCATAGTTTAAAGAAAGCTTTCATTCTTTGGCTTCATAACATGATTCGTTAAAGTGGGAGAATTTACGAACACAACAAAGTAATGTCCAGTGAAGAATCAAACCTTCAACTCTATAAATATATTTCACATTGTTTGTAGAGAACGTGACGCTTTTAAAACAACATCAGAGTTTTTGAGGATGAAGCTGCTCACCGCTTTACCCCCAGCAGCGCGGCCTCTTTACGCACGACCAGAGCCGCTCTGCATGGACACGTGTCATGATTATTACAGATTATTAGAAAAGAAAATACTCTAAACCACTAGTATGTGACCACAGACACAGAGAGCAAAAGGCCCACGTGTTTTCATGTAGTGAATATATACTACAAATAAAGATTAAGATTAAGACATCCTTTATTCCGCAGTGGGGACATTTCAGTGCCACGTGTTTACATGCATACATTTAGTTATAATTAGGCCTAATACATAGACATATAATTCAAACTATATTGATATTAATAGGAATATTATTATAAATATTAACAGGCCCAACTAGTATAATGCCTTACCAACAGTAATGGACAATAACACTGCAGGGTTTGTCCCAAAAGCAAATGCAGGTCATGAATCTAAAATTACTATATTTTATAATCAAAATATTAATGTTTTTGTTTTTTTCTAGAGAATATTGACTCGCACCGTTAGCTTTACATTTACATTGGTACATTTAAATCATTTACTCACACCAATAATTCACATTTTATATACTCGATTATTAATGATGTTTAGTATTGTCTTATTCCCACAAGCCGAGTGGTTAATGCTGTATCTTTCTCTGTGTGTTTATTCTTTTTTCTTTTTTCTTTTTTTTTTTTTTTACAGTGGGTAGAAAAGGCCTCAGCGTGGATCTCATCTGACCTCTAGCGGACAAAACTAAAACAAGTCAAAACGGACAAAAGCGACACTAACATGTACACTACAATAACGCACCACACGGGATCCAAACACACTGTTTTCATTTATTATTTCATGATGCACACCAGGGACGTGCAGTCAGGGGAGGCAGGGGAGGCAGAGCCTCACCTGCCATTATTGGAAACTAATAATTATTTTAGTTTAAATATATAATTTATATCCACTGTCCTATGCTTTTAATGTATATTCGGCACGGTTCCCATCAGTTTTGATCATTTCTGAAGTCAAAATCGCCGAAATCCCGTTATTCCTATTCAAAGAGACGAGGTGAGGCAGCGCTCCTGCGTGCCTCACCCCAGACCGCTCCCTCACAGTGTGTGTGTGTGTGTCTGAGTGCACTCAGCTCGTGCAGTTGATATATCACCGTTTGTTTCAAATATCCTGCTTTAAAAACATTTTTTAAACTCCTCTTAGTGTTTAGTAGTGTATTGCACGTATGTGTGTACAATTTATATTTAGTTTAAGTCTTTTGATCGTAGATGAACACACAAGGAAAAAGCTTGGCGTGAGGCAGGCGGTATCTGTGCCTCACCGCTAGGGGTGATAGTGAGCATAAAGTTCATACCAGAGTTGCTAACAAACAATCAGCCCAAAATGCTATTTCTTTTGCTGGAAAATGGATGATTTGAATGAAGATTTTTTTTCTCAATTGGACTTTCAAACAAAGAAAGAATTAATATAGACTGGGAGACCACCACTGGACTTACGAGGTTAGTCCGGCTGCGGGGGAGGAGTTTGTTAATCTGTGTTTTATGTTGAACATTGACAGATACCGGCAAAGTAGTGCTTTTCCGAAAAACACTGATTCAAACACTGCTCAAGAGTTCTGCAACTTGTTTAAATTATTGTTTATGTTCCTCGCGTCTCTCTCTCCTCGCGTCTCTCTCTCCTCGCGTCTCTGTCTCTCTCTGCTCCTCGCGTCTCCGTCTCTCTGCTCCTCTCTGTCTCTCTCTGCTCCTCGCGTCTCCGTCTCTCTGCTCCTCTCTGTCTCTCTCTGCTCCTCTCTCCTCGCGTCTCTCTCTCCTCGCGTCTCCGTCTCTCTGCTCCTCTCTGTCTCTCTCTGCTCCTCTCTCCTCGCATCTCTCTCTCCTCGCGTCTCTCGCACCTGCGCTTCTTAAAGATGTTGTTTGATGCGGAGCAGAGTCAGCAGCTAGATTTGTTGTGAGATTATTAAAAGAAGCTGGTTCTCTTATCTTTACAGTATATAAAGTTTGTGGATGTCATTGCATTGGTGATTAAATGCTATTTTATTTGAATAATGATTGTAAATCTGACTTTTAAAGTCAGTGCCTCCCCAATCACAAACCTCACCGCACGTCCCTGATGCACACACATATGACTGTTGTGTACTTTGGGTATTTTACTTATCTAAGCAGACGGCAGGGGACACTAAAGCATAAAACAGGTCTAATTCTTTCTCCAGTTTGGTTCCATCACTAGCCACGTTTTGAATGATAAAGAGGGGACCATTCTCACCCTGCCAATCAGCCGAAAGCATTATCTCTCAGAGCAATACAAAAAGAGAACACCTGCTTTTCCTGGGAATGATGAATCAAACATCCCGGTGAAATAGGACAGGGACAGTAAAAATTGACATTGCCACCACAAGGTAACCAATGTCAAAGTACAGAGCTAATAGCCGTTGGCGAATTTGCAACTCCCATTCATGAAAAACATCTTTGAAGTAAGGCATTTTCACTGTATGCTCCTCCTGGGGGTTGTGAGCATATGGACCAGTAAGATGTATATAATAGATTACATTTGAGACTTTAAGGTTTAATATTTCATGTTTGAGTAAGTAAATGCACTCGACTTCCTCTTCAGAACATGTGCCGTTACAGTTGAGCTGAAACAAAGACAAAACCATTGGGTCAAGATGTTTTATTTATTTATTATTGAAGGCCTGATGTGGTCCTTTGCAGCCACAGGTCCACGGAAGAGCACACAAATTGATAGATGTGGATTTGGAGATTAACCTCTGCTTTAAACTTTAATAAAAGAAAAAAAAAACCTAGTCTACAAATATTTCATTCAAAAGAGCGAATGCACACATTGTAAATTCAGATGTGAAAAGCTTATGGCAGATTTTGTATGTTATGGTGTTAGATTTAGCGTCGCACAGTGGTCCAGCCGTCGTCATCGGTCTCTTCTTTGGGGGACCGGCGGGGGGCCTCATCCTCCTCCTGTGTTTGCTCCTGGGGGCGCTCCTGGGGTCTCTCTTGTGGGCGTTCCTTGGGACGCTCCCTCTCCTCGCGCTTCTCCTCTCCACCGCGACGCCAAGAACTACCTGAACACACCGGGTCAGGAGTCACATGGTTAAGAGGAGTACATGTCACCAGCAATGTCATTGTTCACGGCTTTGCAGTCCAAACACGTTACCATGGTAACTACATCTCTCAGTGTCTTTAACCAGTTAAAAGTCAAATGCACAAAATAAACATTCTTTAGAAAGTCATCCCTACTTGTTGTAATCCAGTCCATTTAAAACATGGAACCTCAGCTTATTTAACAAAGCATAATTTAAAGGTAAATGCTGCCACCTGCTGGCAGAACATGTCCTTTGTTACACGCGTGTAAGTGAACAGTTTTTTGCTTTTATTCAATGTGATAATTGAGCTCATAATTACAAAAGCCCCTTTCCGCCATGTAAAAAAAAAAAAAGCATACAGAAAGTCAACATTTTGAGTTTTAAACTCATACAGTTGAAAACTCGTAAGTGTTGTCTGGAACGGTCTCTGGACGTCCTTCACCTGCAGATTATGTGAAGATATTGCCGACAGTGACCACTGCATCCTTGAAGTAGCCAGAAATAATGTTGTTTGATTGATTCTGTAAAACTTTCCTGTTTAAGCCCCAGACCGCGGTCGTAGGACGCAGGGAGGAGCTGTCTTTGTATTTATTTATGTTAAATTCAATTTACATATATACAACATTTAAATCAAACGACTTCTTATTTTGACATAGTAACAAATAATGTGAGCAATATGTTTTTATAATAAATCAAAAGGAAAATGAGCCATCGAGACATTCCAATCCAATCTGCTGTACCCCACTCTGACCAGACGATGGCGCTGAGAGGGGTTCACACGGAGCGAGTGTTTCCACGGCTGAAAGGATGCGCTTTCTACGTGTTGTGTACGGGGTTTTATTCATGCATCTATAATGGGTTTAACTCCCTTTTCAAAGACCCTCACTGTTATCTGCGGAGTTATTTCTCCGGATTGTTGCTAAAAGAGTCGTGGGCTTTATTTTGTCACAATTACTATAATCAGACAAGGCACTTATTCCCTGTATGTCTCTGGTTCCTGCTCATACGCCAACAACTTTACCCACACGCTCGCTCCATCAGCTCACCCCAGAGCGCGCTCACGTTTCGGCCGCGTGCACGCACACACGTCACATGTGGGACTGTGGGACGAATAAAGGAATTCTTATCTTACTCTTCAATGCACTGATGGCAATTCCAAAAGTTTAATATTATCAGTGCCCGTGACTGCGGTTCTCCTGCCTCTGTCTGCGGTTCTCCTGCCTCTGTCTGCGGTTCTCCTGCCTCTGTCTGCGGTTCTCCTGCCTCTGTCTGCGGTTCTCCTGCCTCTGTCTGCGGTTCTCCTGCCTCTGTCTGCGGTTCTCCTGCCTCTGTCTGCGGTTCTCCTGCCTCTGTCTGCGGACCTCTCTCACTGTCCAGTAATCCCGAACGGTCTCTGTCAGTCACAATATCATTCACTGCATTTCTGGTGCGTCCATCGATAGCCGTGATACTGACCAGATGTCACCAGTTGATGCTCATTGACTTTGACCAGCCACATGTGTTTTATTATTAATCTTCCACAGTCCGTTTAGGATAAATTAAATAGAGGCTCCTGAAGCGTGTTCTAATCATAAACTGAGAGACCGTATTTTAACGCGATTACTGCCCCAACATTATTGCTGCTACTTCATGGATGTGGTCACTGTCTGTAGGAAATATCTTCACATAATCTACAGGTAGAGGATGACCCATGGATCTATAACAGGGATGACCAGAGACCGTTCCAGTCAATACATACGAGTTTTCAACTGCACATGGGCAGTTGAAAACTCGTAATTTTGACTTTTAAAGTCGACATTTTGATTTTCTGTAGGATTTTTTTTTTTTTTTTTTTACATGGCGGAAACGGGCTTCCATACATAATGAAAAGATCAGGGACAAACCCTTATGTTGTGTAACCTTCAAACACTCACCATGAGAGCATTCACAATAACTAACAGATATTTTTGCTTCAGATTATTTCACATTCTAAAACATGAAATCACAAGACAATGTCTGATGCATTATTTTAAGCCATTAATAATGATAATATCTGTTCTTTAGAGGCAACATTTCAGACCCCTCCATTACCTTCATCAGTTTCACGGGGTGGAGCTCTGATCTCTCTGTCGTCACGGCGATCCCTATCGCGACGTTCTCCACGGCGATCGTCTCTGTCCGGCTCCTCACGGCGAGACCCTCTCCAGCTGCTGCTGTTGTTGTTGTCGTCTCCGCCTCTGCGCCACACGCCCTCCTCTCTAGAAACAAAAACACAATCTTTTAGTTTCTTGTGCTTAACCACAAAAGCTGAGAACTCTACAGTCATTTTCCAAGACATTGATGTGATAGAGTTGTGTTTTAGTGCAGACCTGGGGGGGCGTCTGAAGCGGTCTTCTCCTTCATCATCGTTGTCCCGTCCTCCACCTCGAGGAGGACCCCAGCTCTCTTCTCGTGCCTTCTCTCGCTCACGCCAGCCGCCTGCACAGACGCAGCTTTAAGTTAGAACTGTAGATCGTTAATAAAGACATTAAGGACCAGTCGCAGCTCTGACCTGGGCGGCCCAGAGGCTTCCATGGTTTGGAGTCCTCCTCGTTGTCGTCCATGCCTCTCCTGGGGGCCCTCTCGTCCCGGTCCTCCCCTCCTCGTCTGGGGCCCCAGTCGTCATCTCTCCGCGGAGGCCTGTCCTCCAGAGCTCTGCGAGGAGGACCATCGTCGAAGCCTCTCCTCGGGGCGCGGTCTTCATCAAAGCCTCTGCGAGGAGCACGATCGTCGTCAACGCGTCTGGAGCCGCGCTCTGCAACAGAACAAGAAGGAAACTTTCATATGAACCTGCAGACGAGGGAGAACTGCCACATAAAAATCACACCATCGACTGCCATGTTGCGATCACGTGACCTGAAGAGGGCTTGACATTGGTCCCTAGGACAGGAAATGTTTCCCTTCCATTTGTTGGAGAGGACAGTGCGGGAAAACAAGCAAATAAGAGCCCAAGCCATGAAAAGCTCTCATTTCGAGTTACAACGCACGCCTTGTAAAGTTTGAACCAGATGAATATTTTGAATAAGCGGCTGTTATAGTGGTCACAGTGAAGCTCATCACTCTGGGATCATAAGCCACGTTGATGAAAGTTCTGATAAATAAATAGGGCATAAATGCAACATTTGTGAAGAGAAATATGACACTTTATTGTCATTGCAATGATTTTGTAAAATCCGAAAAGTACACATTTAAAACGGTGGCTGCAACGAGCGCAGTCTAACCTTGGGGTACACAGCTTGGTTACTAGATTAGAAATGACCCTGGTCTTTTTTTTTCTTGTTATATGTCATATGCTCTCTTTTTGGGGATATTGTGGGAGGGACTGGGGGTAAAATGTATACTTAAAATGCAAGAAAAGTAATGAATGACCACACACATACTGGTAATGTGAGCGATGTTGGGAAGACTCTTACCTCTATCATCATCAAAGCCTCTGCGTATGGGACGGTCTTCGTCCAGCCCTCTGCGTATGGGACGGTCTTCGTCCAGCCCTCTGCGTATGGGACGGTCTTCGTCCAGCCCTCTGCGTATGGGCCGGTCGTCGTCAAAGCCCCTCCTGCCTCCGCGGTCGTCTCTGCGTGGGCCGTCTCGTCTGAAGGAGCTGTCGCGCTCCTCTTTGTCCTCCTCGCGGCCATCCTGCGCTCTCCAGTCACTAAAGGGAAATGAGAAAGTCAGGAACAGTTGACGTGCATTTGAAATGATCCCTATTCCACCATTTATCTTTAATTCTCCTTGACACAAACAGAGGATTAAAAGTGTTGAAAACAAAAAACATCCCTGAAAAACATCTCTAAAACGGATACATGGAGGATTCAGGTTATCCTACTCAGATTAAGATCATGATCAATGTCACTGACCGATCAGGCACCGGGCGGCGCCACTCCGAGTCTCCTTCAGTGGGGCCTTCAGTCTTCTTCCTCCAGCCGCCCTCCGTCTCCTCCTTATCGCCCCAGTCCTGAAGCAAAAGAGAAACAGTCTTTATCAGCAAAAAACCGAAATGCATATGTTGGTTGTTATTAGCATCACTGTCATAATGAAGAAACAAATAAACATAAGCATGCACAGAAACACTACGTCTAAAGAATGTTTCAAACACAATATCCAGCTGTTTATGGAGACAACAATGGCAAGTTTATTTATATTATATTATATTTTCTTCAATAGTGAAGAGAAGGAATTTACTAAATTGTTTTAGAGAAAATGTTTTAAACGTCGATCTAATTGCCAAATCTGGTTTTTAATGTAATAAATTGGTCCCTAATATATTCTCAGTGCAGAGTATGAATCCTGTTCGTTAGTATTGAAACGAGACAGTGACGGCAGCAGAGCACAGACCTTGCTCCTCTCCGTTCTCTCCTCCCTCTCTGGAGGAGCCCTCCTCTCCTCCTCTCTCCTCTTCTCTCGCTCCTCGATCTCCTGCTGTCGTGCCCTCTGCTTGCGCTCCTGCTCCTCCAGTTTGCGGAGGCGCTCCTGGTACTCGCGCTCCTCCTCCTCACGCTGCTCTTGCTCCAGACGCTCCCTCTCCTCACGCTCTGGGAGAAGAAACCACACACAAGTTAAAAAGGTGAAAGGTAAAATGCTTCCTGGCTTTTTCAGTCATTTCTGGTATAATTCTCATGAAACTACGTTGATTGGGTTTAAAAGATGAACGATAAACATTTGTGGTTCCCAAGAGATGGTAAGACTATTTCAAATTTCTGCATTTAAAAGTGTGTTATTTTGGCAGGTTTGGTAAAATTGTTTTTGTTGTAACAGCAGATTGGTAATTGCAACTGTACTCGGCAGCCCATTCCACTCCAGCTGTTTTGTCTTAAAAAGTATTCAGGTGTCTGCTTATTTCAATGACGGCATGACATGAAAAATCCACGTCTTGCAGTGATTCCTGACGTGAACCGTAGCAGAATCATTGGACAGTGGTGTTGACGCTCACCCTTCTTGAGCTGCTCCTCGTGGATGCGCTGCGCCTCCTCCTCCTTCATGCGGTAGTAGTCGTTGCGTCGGTCCTCTGTGCGCTTCCTCTTGCGTTCTTCCATGCGCTTTTTTCTCTCCTCCACCAAACGAGCCTGGAATGTCTTCAGTTTTTCCTACGTGACACAAATGCATTTAATAACACATCGTCACAGGAGGCGTTAGTGCATGACAAAACGGGGCAAAGAAAAACATTTGTTTTAGGTCAAATGTGACTTTTCACCAGTCATAACATTACACAACTTTTCCATAGAGAACAAAAGACCATATGAATCTAAAATAACAAAACCCACAGTGCTTGATGCAGTAACGGCTTGTAATTGGAATAATTTGATAATGACTACAAATGCTCTTTAAATAGAAGTCTGTATCATCTATCACGACGAATGCCAAATATACACAAATGCCAAGACAAGCCGCTATAAATTAAACTAAATGTGCCTCACCTCATAAATGCAGCTACGAGCGGCTGTGATCTTGGACAAGAAGTTTTCCTTGTCCTCGATCATCCTGGACATGCGCTGCTTATGCTCCAGGGCCTTTTCCCGCTCCACCTTCATGTTGCTGATCTAAAGCACAAGACGACGCTCGCAGTTACAAAGTGTATCATGTGTAAATAAGTGAGATATTAAAATGACATGAATACGTACCCGGTCTTCCTCCTGCAGCTCCCAAAGCTCCATGTCTTTAACACGCTGCTCTTCGTAGGCCTTTTTGATCAGTGGGATTTCCTCCAGGCGCTTGGCTCGCTCAAAGTAGTCGATCTGGGGACAAATCATGATCCTTATTAGTCCAATATAGACTCCTTTAAATCATGTATATTTTTTAAAGCAACCCATGGCCATTAGAACAGGGGAATTACTTTTAGTTTATGGATATTAAAATGCAAGGCGAGGCCAAGATCAGTCCAAAACATCATAAATTAGCAGCATACCTTCTTTTCCTGGTTCTTGAGTCGCTCTTGAAGCTCTTTCTTCTCCTTCTCCAGTTGTTCCACCTGTTTGGCCATAATGAAGTCTGGGTCCAACTCCTCCAGGTCCTGGGAGAAAACATGTGTCAGTGTTGTCCATAGACGCACAGTATGTTCTACCTGCTGACTTCAAACTGTCAAAATATGTGTGATCTAAAAGTTCATAGTTTTTGCTAAAATGTTATCGTTATAGCCTGAAAAATGCAGTCATTGAAACTGCTTACAAAAAATTTATCAAATTTGTAATAAAATCTACAAGACTCTAGTTCCATCACTAGCTCTGCATGATGTCTTTCACAGCTTTCAGACAGAGAAGTGAAAGAGGACCACCCTCACTCAGCCAATCAGCTCACAGCCCAAAGCGTCAAATTGTGACTCAGAGTTTTTTCATGTTTTCTCATTGGATGAAGATAGGCATGTTGTGGTCTAACTTGTTTATAATATTCTAATTTTGGTCTGAACCGTACAGATTTATAAGGGCGATATGGCTGAAAACCATATCACAATATAAGTAATTCATATCGGTCAATACGATATATATATATATATATATAGATTGTTTTTTTGTTTTTTTTTAACGTAAATAAATACATTTGTCGTGTCGGCTAACACATGTTAGCAGCCTTGTTTACAGTCACGGAGGAATGAGGCTGGAGCCAAATGTTCACAAGCAGTCTCCCCCACTTTAGTCCTGGTTTAATCCTGGTTTAGCTCCTGGTTTGGCTGTTTGAGTGTCGTGTCCCCGTGGCGGCTCCAGAAAAAGTTAATCTCTTGCTTTTGCCGAAGTCATCAAGTCTCTATACCCACTGCCTCTCCCGCGCCGCACATGCTGTTCCTCGCACGGACGTGTTTAACCATTGACACGGCATTGAAACACGATCTTTAGATCCATGGCTATTATAATAGATCCATGGAAGTTACGCATGGTGCGGTTGTTTTTTTGCTTTTCCCAGAAAGTTTAGCGGTTTGTAGTCGGCTGTGATAGGTCGAGAAGCCTTTGCCTACATCCCCCAGAATGCCGTGGGCTTGTGACTCTGCTTTAGTTCCTGTGTTTTGTTCCTGTTTTTTTTCGAACGGACTTAAGTGAAACAATCGAAGTTCTATCGACCCCGATTTCTATTGATATCGAACACGTGTCTATCGCAATATATATCGTTATAATTTTATCGCCAAGCCCTAATACAACTACTTACTTGCACTAGAAATACAGCACTTTATACTTTCTCCTTATTATGCTAAAGTCAGGGGTTTTTGTTCATCATGCTAAAGTTGGAGATTTTAAGACTTATTTTCTTATTATGCTAAAGATAGAGATTTCATACTGCTTCTTTTTATGCAAGAGATCTTATTTTATCTTGAGTTGTGTGCTCCCCATTCCTACTGTTCTGTAACTTGCTTGCCCACTGTGGGGCAAATAAAGGTATCAGCTTTAAGTCTAAACACAGATCTCGCTCACCTCGATGTCGATGTCCTTGAAGGCCTTGGCTCCCAGCTCGGTCTTCTTGATCTGCTCCAGCCGCTCCCTCACGGTCTTCTTCTTGATCTGCTCGTGCTCCTGCATGATGCGCTCCTTCTCGCGCTCCTTGGCCTCCAGCCGCAGCCGCTCCTCCTCGGCCTTCCGCACCTTCTGCATCTCCGCCTCCTTCTGCTCCATCTCCTCCTTCTCGCGCTGGATGTTGAGGCTCTCCAGGCGCTCCTTCCGCTCCTCGATGGTCTGCCTTCGGGCCAGGACGCGCTGGTGGTCCTTGCGCGCGTTCTTCAGGTACGCGGCGATGGCCTGCTGCTGGTGCTCCTCGCGTTCTTGCTGCAGGTGAGGAAACAATGTCATGGTTAAAGATGGTGTACGCCAGTGAATGGTTGACATGGTAACAGCGTGTCGGGGAGATGCTTCGGTTTTCTGATGCAACACAGCGTCTAAAACTAAATGGAATAGGGAGCTCCAGGCTTTTGTCAGGTCAAACTAGATTTTAAATTCCTTTGTAATGCTGTTTAGGGAACGTTGTGTACCACAATATTACAATATTTCATATTTATAAAGGCTACTCTTCCAGGCACCAGGTCGAAAATCTTCATTTCATTTCATTTTATTTATTCTTTTTTCATGGTAATGCAACATACTATACAATTGGAACAAATCAACAAACACAACAATAATACATTCCATGAAAAGAAGAACAGGAGTAGGATGAAGAAAAAAAAATCTTATAAGCTCCTACCCCATTCTTAAAAAAAAACATTACAAATTATATCTTTTTAATGATTTTATGATACTGTGGCTTCTCTGGAAGGAATGATACATCAGACAAAGAATTAATACTTTAGGCAGAAAACGCTTTTTTACTTTATTGCTGAGGCTTTTGTTTTATTACAAAGCCAATTAGACCTCAACCAGTCTCTCAAAAGCCTAAGCAGTAGAAATCCAAAATGTTCAAAGATTCTCCTAACAATCTAAATGTTTTAATACAGGATGAATGAATGAATTGCTGGTATGATTTAGAATTGTCATTTTCTTAACCATAATGCAGTTCTGAATATATAAATAGATCGCCATGCCGACTGGGTTTACTACTACAAGAAAGAGTGATAGTCCAACTTGATGCAGAGACATTTGAAGCGTGGTGCCGTGTGGACTCACCAGGATGGACGTGGGCTTGATGACCTGAATGGCTTTGGCCAGAGACGCAGACATGGCGGTGAGCTGGTTCCGGATCTGTGCTGAGGGCATGTTCTGCAGGAAGGGTCCGACCGGAGAGTCCTCTTTAGGCGAATAGTTCAGATCTGAACCGAAACTTAAGGTCCGAGAAGAGTGGTCGATGCGCACCTGCAAGAAACACATGTATTCAATTCAACTGTGCAATTTCATTTAACACAACTTTCGCTTTTCAAATTATTATAATATTAAAATTGCTGACTAAACAGCATTTGATGGTAGAAATATTTGGAAAATATATTACATTCTCTGAGAGGACAATTTAGTGCAGACTATTGTTACTTCTTTTTTAGCTTTAACATGGTCAAAGCTCAAAATGGTAAAACTTGTATGTTCTATATGGAAATATCACTACATTGTTGAATGACAAACAAGCGTTATGTTTACCTGGAGGTCACAGTGGCGAGCAGCGTCCACAATGGAGCGCTCCAGCTGGAAGGCGTCGACGAACGGAACCAGTGTGGCCAAACGGTTGAACTCGATGCTCTGATAGATCTGAGCCACCTAAAAACCAAACAAGAAATAACAGAGCTTACATTAGAAAGAAGGCATGTGTATTCATAACGGCACATACATGAGGTGATGACTTCTGCCCTCTATACAGAGAAATTAGTACAAGGTGAGAGAGAAGGATTACCTGCTGCAGGAGCCTCAGGATGGTGTTGCTCTGGAGGTGAGGCACGTACTGCTGCAGATCTGGCTCCTTCTCAGCCTGTTCTTTGACCCACTCCAAAACCTGCATGAACGAAACATAAAATCATTCGCAAAAGCCGTCGTTATCATAAGATCATTTCATTTTGAGGTATACATTTCCTTCTAAATGCCCAGTAAAAGTCCTACATTTCTGTTTTTAATCAGTAAATGGCACATTTTGCGATGCGTGTGATATTATGATGCTTGAGTTTTGATGCCTTTCAGTATTGACAGATATCAAAATGTGTTACTTTTGACGATGCAGCTAAACACAAACCCGCAGCCTTTATTTTTTACATGCTATACAATCTCATTACCTTAGTGACTCTACCACTGAGCTTCAGAGGATGGAAGTCGACCTCGAGCCAGTTGTACAGGTCTTTCACATCAGGGACGACATACTGCAGCAGATTAAACCGCACCTGGAGAATAAATGGATTGGATTAGCAGAACGCATCATATAATCTGTTAACCACCAAGTAATTCTATGCTAACAATGGAATTAATTGAACATCTTTAACAAATAAAGGATAAAACAAAAAAGGTACCATGTCATTGATGAGGCTCTGGCGTGTGGGAGGAGACTGCAGCCCCAGCAGCGTGGCCAGTCTGCGGTGCTTCTCCACGATGATGCCGTCCATGTCCAGCAGGCGAGCGATGTCCGTGCGCTCCGGAGTGATGGGGATGGAGAGCGTGGCCAGGAGCACTCTGGTGGACATCCTGAAAAGACACACACACAGCATTCAGCATTTGGTTCAAAACAAAAACAAATCACACGAGATTCCAAATTATCAGTACAAGGAACTAGTCGCAACTTAGTTTAATCAGAGAAACCATCTAACTGGATTTAATGTAACCAGTGAACTGCAGTGAATATCACTTGTTTCGAATACACTTCAGAATCCAGCCATATTTAAAAGATAACAGGAGGCATATGTGTGTGAAAACGGCACCTTTGCATCTCCTCCTGGGTGAGGTTCTTGCGCATCTCCCTGGAGAGGTGGTAGAGGCGGTGCAGGGTGCAGGAGTGGAACAGGGCATTCCCAGACTTCCAAAACACAGTCGACACTTTGTTGTAGTAGTTGGCCATGAGCTGCGGCTTCGGGGGCTTTTTGGACAGAGCGAACAGGCCGTGGATGTCCTCAACTGCTTTGAACGCTTCCTAAAAAATAAATAAAAAAACCACACACCATTAGGATTCATTGTACTTACACTGTTTGTTACAATAATGGTTATTGTACAAAACTATATTTTTATTTAAGGTGTGTGATCAGACAGACCTGCCAGAGCTCCATGCTGATGGCGCTGTCGAGCTGCACCAGGCGGGTCTCCAGGTGCATGGACTGGGACTCAGGGTTGTTCAGGTTGATGGCCGTGCTCTGGTTGTGGTGACGCTGGATCTGACCCAGGTGCATCCTCAGGTTATCGCAGAGCTTACGGAACTCCGCCTTACGGGTGTACTGAAGGCAGAACTTGAAGGCTGCACACACACACACACGCAATGTTTATTTACAATGTTACTACTGTCAAATGCATTCCTGTACCTCATACTGGAGGGTGGGGTCAAATGAGCAAAAACAAAGTAGCCTCCTCCTCCTCACCTTGCTGAGCGATGTCATGGTAGAGGCGTTCCACCTTGGAGTTGTTTCGGAGCAGATCCAGACACTGACGATAAGACTCCCACAGAAACTTCACCCATGGAGTCAGGAGCAGCCGGTCTGTGCGGTCCTGAGTGTCCTCTCCACTCACAGCACTCAGCAGCACACTGGCAATGAACAAAACAAAGACAATGAGGTGCACATTCAAAGACATTTATGATGCTATATTATTCGGTTACATTTAAGTGAACTCTTGTTGAGTTGTGGAGCTGGGAATGGCACCAAATAAGTGCACCCAGGTCCACTTGTCACTTCTCTTTTCTTTGGTCCATATTCAACAACAAAAATAAAAGACACACAACAAATATTTAACTTAGAAAGTGTGAGTGCTATACAGAATGAAAGGATTAGGCTGAAGTTTGTCACTTATTTCTCCTGGCCCAATGATTGTACTTCACTTGTTTTCTTTTGAAACAGATTTGTGAGAACTGCATTTGATTCCCGAAATCCCTTTGACCAAAAAGCGTGAACGCACCCTCAAACAGCAAACTATAGATAAGTCCAACAAGGTGAAGGGATGGTGCCATAAAAGATACTTCCAACAAACTTTATTAGCAGATGTCATTTATCTCGTTATGGTTCAGCTATTTTAAATTGACTGGACTGAAATAAGGTTGCATGAATATTATAGAGTTCAAATAATTGATCCACATTATAAATGAAACAAAAATAGAGACATCGTTGATCACAGAACATTGTATCATTATTTGAAGAAGTTCACCTCTCAGGAGTCTGAATGTTGTCCAGATCCTCGATGTCCAGGACCATCTGTTGAGACTCCCCTTTGGCAGTTTCAGTTTTATCCTCCGCCAGTTTCAGATAGGCCCGCACCACATCCTCCAGGGACTTGATGTTCACCTAAAACACAAAGTAATAAATGTGTAATGAGCTACAAAAGAGCAGGAACATAACATTTGCTGGGTGTTTATTTATACATTTCATATTGAAGATTTTTTTTTATATCAGCAATTACCATAATGTTCCCAATATCTTGTTGCATATATTGTGTGGAGTTTTGCTTTGGGGTCATTGCGCACCTGTTGACAGATGTTCTTGTACTGGTAGAGACCCTCCTTGGCCAGGTGGCTTTTCCGCAGGTCCACGCACAGCTCCAGGTACTTGAGCATGATGGGCTCGTGGATCTTCTGCCATGTTCGATGCTTCTTGCTCTTGATGACATCGTACAAGACATCCAGGGCAGGCTGCTTCTTGCCAACCTCCAGAAACTCTACACAACACAGACAGGAATAGATTGATGCATGTCAACATATCATATATTTAACAGCTATGTGAATGTAGCTACTTATGAGGATGTGGTACAAGTTCTTAGAGTCAGACTGAGCGGCTGCAAGTAAACCGATACACTTTTGCTATGTTTCTAACTAAACTTGATTTGTTTAAATACAATAGTAAAAGAATGAAGTGACTTGATTTGGTAAGAAAAAAGTTAATATTATTCAAAGAGCAGTTTTGTTCACCCATCAAATCTTTAAACAAATAGCGGACAAAGTGTTGTAGAATTATTAGTTAGTTAAAAGGTATGTAGGAGGATTTTCCCAATTTTTTAGGAAAGAATCGCCCTCTCCACTTTTTGAACAAAACTCTTTCTTATTTGACAAGTCTGTATCACCAGAATGATAGACAATTGGGAGGACCAATAGTTTTGATGATCCACCCAGAAGTAGAAAATCCTCCTATGTAGCTCAAAGACAGAATGAAGCAGATCGACAATATTCTATCATTTAAAATTGGCTTTAGCCTGGACCCATAGGATCAGTATTTACTTTTCTTTTAAAACAAGTAGAAAAAAACTACAAAACTGACTTTTTGGGCTTTTTCGGGTTTTGCAGTTTTCAACAAGGATGTATAAACGCAATTACATACGAGCCATTTACTAGTAGTAAAACATTTCTGGGTGCACAAAAGGCATCCCATGTGTCATATATAACCACACAGACAATATATAAGCAAGCATGTACTCTTTATAACTATTCATCCATGTTGTCCATGCTCTAATTTGAAGCAAAGTCTCAGGTTGAGTCATAATGAACAACACATAATGACTGTAGGGAGAAATGTATGAACCAGTTTTTTTTACAGACACATGTGTTGACAAATGGAGATCATCAGTGAACATATGCATCAATGACATGATACCATTCAATAACAAAGGCTCCAATGATCTTATGCGTTTAAACTATCATGTATGTGTCATGTTATTTTCTGTTAAATGTAATATTCGTTGGCTTTAACAACTAAGGAAGCACAGATAGGATGGGTTAGCAGAGTGTCACTGGCTTGTGTTAGGCCCAGAGCAGGGCTGGGTAAAAGCGTGACTTTAGCAATAGTTACCTACAGCTGAAATGCCCCTGATCGTACAGCTGTGACAAAGCTATAACAACACAGGCGAGAGAAGCGACCAACTCATGTAAACAAGGATCAGAGCAGACTTCATGTTGTGCAGTGAAACCATACATTAGCAGGCACGTCAGATGGAGAAAACGACGTGTCTTCCCCGCCATTAGCCCCCGTTAGCCTCCTAGCCGGTTAGCATGTTAGCATGTTAGCATCGGGTCTGTAACGTTGAATCAGAGGCCGTTCACTCACCGTTCGCCCGTTTGAGGGCATTCTCGGGCCGTTGAAAATACGCCGGCATCTTGGTGGCTTTCTATGGAAACTCGACTGGCAGAGTTTGAAGTAAATCTTTAGGATTTTCACCAGTCCATGAAAGCCACGCACTCACGCACTGCAGCCCTGGCTGAAAAGGACCAACCTCGTGAGCGGCCCAGCAAGGGTTGCCAGATAATAATTATAAATGACGCCACCAGCATGTGAAAGATCCTGTCAGACCTCTGAAGATAAGCACGGTAGGGCCTGGTCAGTACTGTGATGGGGGAACTCTGGGAACACCAGGTGCCACAGTGGGGCGGCTGCAGTGGAAATATGCCAAACTGTTGTTGTGCCCTTAGGCAAGACACCTCATCCACATTGCCTAATATGAGTCTGGTGCCCATAGTGTGCCCCAGGGCAGCTGTGGCTATAATAGTGGTTTATCACAGCCGTGTATAGGGGGGTGAATGAATAATGACACATGAAGAATCTTTGAGTGTCCAAATAAGCGCTATATAAAACCGATGCATTATCATTATTATTATTATTATTATTATTGTTATTATTACATGCTGATTTCACAATCCCCTTTAAAGTGCCTATGTGACCGGTTAGACATGACCTTTGTGAAAAAAACAGTCAATTTCACTGATGAAATTGTTGAAATGTAATGTTCAAAATGTCCTTCCGGGTCCTTTCTTTAACATTCATAACCATACTCATGGTTGTAATTTATCACATCATTGGGGGATGTTGGCTTAAAACTGTGTCATAAACAGGACCAAAACCCCTCTTATGACATTTGTTTTTTTTGTTAGAAGGGCTCTGAGGAGCACAGGGCCTGGCCTCCTGTACTGCTAGTCAGGACTATACATGGGAACATTTCAGGTTTATGCATTTACATTCCTTGATCAGTCTTCTTGGAAATGTGAGATAATGTAAAAATTCAGGTAAACCAGTTCTGTTTAGTTGTAATAATAAAAGCTGAATTAAAAGTTTAAAAGGTTATTTCCAGTGTATGCCGCAGTGACGCAGTGGACAGCACTTGTGCGCCAAGGTCCTTAGTTCACTTCCACCTGTGGAGTTTGCATGTTCTCCTCTTGTCTGTGTAGGTTTCCTCTGGGTGCTCCGCTTCCCCTACCACTAAAATCATAAGGTTTGATGTGTGTTTGTGACCGTGGGACTACAGATGGAAAAGAGCTATAGAGCTACACTTTCAAGCTTGACTTTCAAACCATAAGACAAATAACTGTATATCCATCCAACTATAATACAGTTCCTCACTCTCGAAACAATTCCATATGCACGCATTTTTGGCCTCTGTCACATCTTTACATCAGATTTTTCAGAAAGAAATTTGAAAAAGAGAGGACCACCCTCACTCAGACATATTTATGGAAAGATAAAGACAACATTATTTGGCCTGATTCGTTCACAACATTTTGTCTTTTACAATAATCCAACCCCATAGTTGCGCTTTTATGTAAACCTGGCACCCCATACTTTTTCCGCGAAATCCACTTCAGGCTGAATAAATATTCACTAATTTAAAAGGTACTGACCAAAGACTAACCCAGCTGTTATGGAAGATAAAGAAAATATACGTGGTTTATTTTGTTCATTTAAGTAAAACAAAAAACTTTTCAGCTGTGAGCGGTACTCTCTGATTGGTTAACCTCCCCGCCTCTCCCGGAAGTAGGAAGAAATTTTGCTCCCTTCAGAAATCTGTTGACAGCACTTGTTCAGCTCGCTAATGAACCACTTCTACACCATTTATGGCTCCATAAAGATCACGAAAGGACTCACAGAAGAGCAGCCGACCTCACACCACCTTTCCCCGCTCGCACTAGTGTCTTAGGAGGCGTGTGTTCATTCTCTTCCTCTTTTCCTGTAAGCTCTCACAGATATGGAAGATGGCAGCGACTGAACACCAGCTCATGATAAGCGTCGGAATCATTGGTAAGGACATATTTGATGAATCACGGCTGTGTTGGCAATGTCTGAGTTGGTATTTTAGCCAAATGGCCTGGGGTGGTGTTGTTGGTGAAGGGGCATCACATGACACCAGCGTGATCCAGTGGACGCTGCTCTAGAAATGTAATGAATGAGCAAAATGACACAGTGAAAAGTAAGTAAGTTTTTATTTATATACCGCCTTTTCACTGCAGATCTGAGTCTCAAAGCGGTTTACAATTGTTAATTTTGGGCATTTGTCTCTCACTCCACACAGAGATGGGAGTGGGGTCGCCGAACAGGAGGCACATGCCAGAACTATTGGACATATTTTTAGTGGTAGGGGAAACCGGAGCACCCGGAGGAAACCTACGCAGACACGGGGAGAACATGCAAACTCCACTCAGAAAGGCCCTGGTCCGACCGGGATTCGAACCCAGGACCTTCTTGCTGAGAGGCGAGAGTGCTATCCACTCAGCCACCGTGTCGCCCTAGGATTGATCAGAAACATTTGACTCTGTTTCTGTGCTGACATCATAGTTGTGTTGATGAATTATATGTAAATCACAAAACCAGTATCATGTTTAAACCTGTTGGCCTCATATCTCATAAAGTAGACCACTAACCAGCAGCATGGATCAAGTAATCTTACCAAGGCAGTTATTACAACATCAATATGTGTCTCTGTGTAAAACATAAGGCCACAGTGCTACTTGCCTGAGATGATCATAGTTAGACAGATGGCTTTGTGTGTATTTATAGAATCTGTTATTATTTATTGAGTACCGGTGCTGTTATTTTGGTACAATAATGCATCTGTTTCATATAACGCTTTTATGAACATTCAAATATTCTTCACAAGCTGTGGCTACTCACTATTGTAGCTACAGCTGTCCTGAGGCACATTGACATAAGCGAGGCAACCGGTATGAGCCATCCGCCCCTTTGACGACCACCAACCATTCACACACACATTAGACTCAGACAGGAAATGTGCGTGGCATCTTGCCTAAAGACACCATAACAGTTGGTACTTTACAGCCGCAGCCGCCCCTCTGTGGCTCCTGGTGCCCCCAGAGGTCTCTCATCACATTACTAACCAGGCCCTGCTCTGCTCAACTTCAGAGGTCTCATGGAATCTGGCTTTTGCATGCTGCTGGTGCTTGAAAGTGTTTGTATACAAGTTTGCATTAATTCTAACTGTGGGTTACAAAGGCATATGACAGATTACAACACTGGTCTGAAAGGATTATTCTCTAGCCTACAATTTATTTGCTTCAATTAGGTCATTTTTATAAAGACTGTTTTGGTGTGGCGCCACACTGCACTGAATGTGATATTCTCATAATTCAATCAACATAAACCATTTTATTTCATGTACAAACTCATTATTTCTTTAAACTATGAATAATACTTTAGTGTCAATTGTATGTATGTTGTGCTGAGGCAAAAAAAAAAAAATGAATGTACTGATCAAATGTAATTTTTGATTGATTACTCAATTACTAAAACAATTCTGTACATACTTGAAAACTGTACAATAAAAATAGTTTTGGAATCATGTAAAATGTAACTTATTAGTTGCTATGGTGATTGCCAAAATGCAGTGATTTCCATTGTTTCTCATTTAAGGCCTTCCATGTGAACTGGGAATTTCTAGTCAGACAAGCTCCTCTATCTGTTCTGAATCCTCCCATCTCAATCCCACTCCTTCAGTCCTAACATGTGCACGTAAAATATAAATTCAACATGTGTGTGTATTTGTAAATCCTATTCTTTGTCAGAGAAAGACGTGAACGGAGACACGCTGTGGGTGTGGTGTTACCCGTCGGTGGACTCTGAGCTGAGGCAGGTGCTTCTGTCCAAATGCTGTCTGTCCCACGGCACAAAGGACTTCCACACGTTTGTATTCGGACAATTCAAACGCAGCTGGTATTACATCAGCTCCGCAGAGGTGCAGGAGCCCACGGCACTCATAAAGGTGAGCATTCTATCCATTCTTTTCCCAAAATGAGTGCGTTTGAAAAATATTTAGACAATTTCTCATGTCTATTTTTTTCCTTCCAGGTCACTCATTTTTCCATTGTAGTTACAGCAAAAGATTTTAACCCAGAGAAGTATGCTGCTCTTGGTAGAATACTTTGCAGGTACCATTGTTTTATTGTTTATGGATCTATACATCATGCTGTAATAAAGGGGACACATGCACAATAGACTTTAAAGTGCTTTTAATCAGGTCATAGAGGCTTGTTTTTACAATGATGAATACGTATGGGAGTATAATATATTTAATTTAAGGGGTTTCAACAGTGCTAACTTTGACTGTTCTCTTTTGTTTTTTTTATTCTATTTTGTGACATATCCACTTTCCAATCTGGTGTTGTTATCGGTGCAAGAAAAATATTGTTCTTGATGAGAAAAAAAATTGGAAGTGAAATACATAATTATTTGACATTATTTGAAATGGTGATTGCCAAAAAAATCCGGTCCTTGTTCAGATATGATAAAGTATTTGACTTATTTTATTATATATTCAATAGATTAATAAACAACACACATGCTTGTCCCAACAGAGTTTTAAAAGTAAAATCTTAACAAATCAGATCATAACATGCAGTCTTTATCTGAAACCTGTAAGAAAGAGCCCAGTAAGTCACTATTTTGGACTGAAGGTGGTTCCCTCTTTATCACTTTTCCTGTTTTAGAAGCATAAACATACAAACATGTGAAAGCTATTCACTATAAACCCTGAAGTAAAGTGAACTTGAGAAAACCATGGAAATAAATTGCAGATTAACTTCACTTGAATTCCTCGAGTACATGCTTAACTTCATATTGCCAAGTGAACTCAATTGATTGCAATAAAGTTTGACTGTGGTTTCAACTTTAACATATATCAGAAAGGCCCTGCTCCGACTGGGATTTGAACTTAGAATCTTTTTGCTGAGAAGCGAAGGGGCTACCATCCTGCTCTGCACATACCTGCCATATTGAACACTCTACATGTTCAAAATATCAAAAGTTTACTTACTTGAACACAAACAGCTCAACTCAAAGAAGGCCCTGAGTGATATAGCCATGCTTTAAATAAATTAACAATAAACAAGTCATATTTACGTACTAGGAAAAATCTATTTGAAATAACTTTGATATCTGAAGTAAGATTTAGGGTTTACAGTGTTGATGGAACCAAACAAGGAACTATTTATGATTACGATAGATGGATTGTATTACATTACAGTCAGTTAGGTGGTACCCCAGCTTATTTTCATGATTGTTTGTCATTTACTCTCAGGACATATGTCAAATACGGGAGTCCTGTGAAAATGTTGGAGTCGTACATCACAGTCTTCACCAAAGGCCTCTGTCAGAGCGACGAAAACGGATCTTTTCTCATTAAGGACTATGACGTGAGGAAAGCTTATTTAGCTGGTTCTGTTAAAGGTACAATATCCACAGAAAACGGACCAATCACATGCAAGAAGATGTTTCCATTTCACACAGATTTATAGTAACGTCTGTATTTGGTTTCAGATATTGTAGCACAGTTTGGTATGGAGACGATTATCCTTTACACTGCTCTGATGCTGAAGAAGAGGATAGTAGTTCATCATCCCCGAATCGAAGCCTTGTTAGAGTTTACTAGGTAAGAACTGGTAAAAGTGAACCCTAAAGCTGCCTCACACTCCACTTATTTCTACCATGTTCCCAGAGTTCTTCCAGCATTGACCTGGCACAGAAAGGACTGGTCCATTTTACACCCGTATGTGCATCTGGAAGACAATGAGATAGAAGATTTAAATAAATGTTCTGGTAAGATGTTCACTTTTAGTATTATATTTCTGTCACTGTCACTGTACAGGGTCGCCCCAGAGTACTTTGATTGATCCCCATTCATAGAAACCTTTAACTCACTGACTGCCAGCCGGTTTTGATTATTTCACTGACTTTCAAGACCCACAGAATATTGTGTCTATTTGACTATGTGAAATATGAACCCAGATTCTGAAAGATTCAGATTCAGTTTATTTGCCATTTGCAGTAAAAAAACCACATTGGAATACATTAGCAAAAGTCTCAGGTGTGCACAGACAAATACAGACATAAAACAACATTAAAAGACAAAAATAAAACAAATAAAACAGTAAACAAATGTCACTGTGAAATCAATCGACTAAAACAGTTTCAAAACAAGTGTAAATCATTAAAGTGCTCTGTTCACACTGATAACAGCCTGTGGATAAAAACTGTTAGCGTAACGAGATGTCCTGCATCTCAGAGAGCGATATCTTCTGCCAGAGGGAAGAAGCTGGAACAAGGCTTTTCCAGGGTGGCCAGAAGAGTCATTGATAATTCTTAGAGCTCTATTAAGAAGTCTGGATTTATAAAAGGAAAGATTGGATTGTCTACTTTCATCAGCAAAATTAAGTGTGTTTCTAGATTGTTTTTATCTTCTGTAATCCTTCGTCGAATAGAGGGAAGTTTGACAGAAATCACCGGTCTCAGACAAATACGTCAATGGCAGTCAATGAGTTAAAGGGACATTTACCCTTTTATTGTATCACACAATTTCAATCATTTAGACATTTAGATGATTAGATTATACATGAACAAGTTTTCAAAATACCTTAATTGCGTGTGGGCTTGCAGGATATGTGGCTGGGTTTGTGGATCCAGAGGTGAGCAAGCGGACGGAACTCTACGACGTCTTTGTGAATCTGCCAGAAAGTGTCATCACAGTATCACCGAGTGCAAAAGGTAAACAACTGTTTTATATCACAGACTTGGTGAGTTGTGTATGAGTAAAGGGCAGGGTGGGCTGGGGTCACAATAGTGTCACAATGGCAGAGTGAGCGCCACAAATCTCCTGGTTTTAGATCTGAGTGAATCTCAGCGTGGAGTTTGCATGTTCTCCCAGTGTCGGCGTAGAGCTGGGTCCCTGAGCGCAGTACTATGGCAAACATTGCACCTGACAGAGGCCCTGGTGGCAATAGAAGATGGGTCAACAATAAAGTATATTTCAGCCTTACATGAGAAAATTAACAGCATCATTGACCATTTAAATACAGACACCCTGAATACATGAAACAACGGCATTCATTTGGAACAAAAACATTTCATTTGGTGTGAAATGCGCTTTCAATTTCTGTGGATTATTCGGCTGCATTTTTACTTCAAGAGCTGTGCATTATCATCCTATTAAAATACAAAATCTAAACCAGGATGAATCATTTCTCACATGGGAGTTCTTAGGATTACTCCAAACAATAAACAAAAATAATGTATGCACCAGAGTTAGAGAAACACTTTTTATTTTAGGTATAATTGTGTGTTTGGCAGAGTCTATGTCTATGGGAAAGATACACAAAGAGGTCGGGCTCCTTATTCTGCAGTCGGCGGAGGACGTGGAGAAGTCGGACAGCCAAGTCATAAAGGTGCATTCACTGACCTAGACACTTGACGACAGAAAATGCTTCAAAATCCCAAATCTAATGAATATGTTTCTGTTAATGCTAATCCGAAGCTACAGTTCAGCTCGTCCCCTTGTCACAGGCTTTTGATTAGACGACACTTACAACTAACCCGGTGACCTCATGACATACTGTAGTTACCTGACCATGCATGACATTCATTAAACTTGATAATATACACTCAGTTTCCTTGTTTGTTCCCAGGACATTTCTGTGAAGACCAAAGAGCTGCTGACAAACCTCATGGCTCTGGCTGAACAGTGTGAAGATTCCAAACTCACTTTAGAAAGTTTAAAACAACATCACTTTCCTCCAGCCACAGAAAACTTCCTCTTTCACCTCGCGGCAGCGGAACAACTGCTGCGGTTATGAACTATTGCTGTTCTGCCTTTTATTGAGCAAAATAGGACGAATTTTTTATATATATTTGCTGCAAGAGTTTGTACTAATAAGGTAGTATTTTTACTGGAGGTTAAGGAGGTACGTGACAAAGTGCTAAAGCAGGAACTGATTCCACCATAACTGCTGCCATTGTCTGGATTTCACACTTGGGTTTTTCGATTTCTTTGCTAAAATCATTAACAGGTGCTATGTTTGTCATAAATATTCTAAAAATAGTGGTCAAAATTCTAAAGGTTTTTTGTGCCAACACTTGTGGCATTTCCCACTGTGAAGAAAAAGTACAAATATAAAGTATTGAGTACAGGCAGATGTCATGGCACATGTTTTATAACTCCTTTTCAATTGTGTCAATAAACTCAGTTATGTGAATATTCTTAACTCTTCATTGAAATGCTGTCTTTTGCATCATTTCTACGATTCTACATGAACTGATTTCAAACCAGCAGGTTGCGTTCATGTTCTAGGATTACATTTCGGCTGGAAACGCCAGTACAACTATGAGACATTTTTTTAACAAAATCTAAACTATCAAATAATCTGAGAATCTTTGATAAATGGTCAATTCAAAAACCCACCATAACAAATCTTTTTGACTGGCCTCATGTTTTTTTTTAAATATATTGTCAATGCTTTTAACACTGTTTATGGAAAATAATTATATCATAGTTGATGTGAACAGACTAAGAAGATGTGGAACTTTCTGACTGTTTCATGTGGATTTAGAGAATCAGCCGAGATAGACTTAATTTAGAGCAACTCCTGACACTTTCCATAGGTGGATATCTCAACTGCCCTCCACCACCATTTTAAACGATATATGTCTACATATATATGCGGGCGACAGTAGCTCAGTTGGTAGAGCATTGGCTTTCAGGCCTGAAGGTCGTGGGTTCAATTCCCACCTCTGCACCTTCTCCACCGGCTCCCACTGATGACTGCTGTCGTTGTGTCCTTGGGCAAGACACTTAACCCCACTTTGCCCAAAGCCCCCGCTGAAAGATCAAGGCTGTGCTCACACTCAGAGAGCAGCCGTCCTCCTGTGGACTCACCACCTGCAGAGGGTCAGTGAGGGGCTGGTGCTATGAGACTTGGGTGGCATCTCTGATTGCCACCCCCCTGACCCAGAAATGGATTAAAGGGTAGAAAATGGATATGGATATGGATATGTCTACATGCAACCCACTTGCACTGATAATGCCTCAGTAATCAGGAGCCAAATGCATTTTCATAAATCAAGTCACATTTTTATTAATAAATAGATCCACAAAGAACAGTTTTTGACCTGCCATAATCATTGAGTGTGGGTTTTGGTGCAATTGTCTATAAAAGCATAATACATCCATGGTCTTTCCAACAGGACTCTTCGGTGTTATTGCAACGTCCAATCAAAACTGGATTCAAGAATTGTACAGCATCAGTTTCATCCAGCTTGGTTTGTTCTGTCTCGCACATTTCTCATCATGAACTTCACTTCCTGATTAACAAAAGCAGATATAGAGAAAGTAGTGCTGCTTTAGCCTCTACAGTCCTCGGTGGTAAAACAAGTGTCCGTCCTTGGCCGCGGCCTGTAACTCGTCCTCCAGCTTCTCCTTGTTTATCTGCGGATCAGAGAAACTCACGGTCGTCACATGGAACAGGTCACGGTCTTCTTGTTGTCAGATTGTGTAAAGTTACCGTTCCCAGTTGTGGAAAGAGACTGAAGGACACCGGGATCATGAGTCCCAGCACCAGCACCAGACTGAGCGGCCGCAGCGGAGACAGCAGCAGCGGACGCCTCCCGAAGAACCGGCTCCTGGAAATAAAACACACATGCAAAACTGATTAAAGAACAAATGTAATGCACTACTTTGGCTAAATCTGACACTGAACAGGATTTCGAGACAGACATAGAAACCAAAGCATTAGTTAGTGGTAGAAACAACATTTCAAGACATCAAAGCATGGACTATATTGATGCAGGTCTATTGTAGGTATTTGACAAATTCATAAAACTAAACTAGATGAAATACTTTTGGTTTAAAAAGGAACAAAACAGCTCCCCCCAAGAGGTCATAGCCAATATGAAGATATATTCTGGAAGCATTGGATAATTTTGAGATGTAATGTAGTTCGGGCAGAGGCTGTACATTATTTAAAACAATAGAGTCTATCTATATATGTATCATACAGTAAAACAAAACAAACAATATACAGAAGAACAATTTGAAGAATACAGTTAGAAAAGTCATCTGTATCTTTTAAGGGGATTTTCCTTAATTACATGTTTCGTATGTTTAGGGATTTATTTAAAAAAACAAATCTGACAGAGACTCAATAATCAATACTATTCTACGGTTTGATCCCAACTGGCCCTTTAAAGATACAGCAGTGTTTTAGTAACTTTAGCTTTTAACACAGTCCTTAAATGAATAAAATAAATATATCTGTAATCGAGTCCTGCTCAGGGCAATGCCACATGGAAACTTAGTGCACTAAAGTTTAACATGGTTTGAAGTCATCATTAAAAAGATGTAATCAAGGCTTACAAAAGAAGATAGATATTTTCAGCCTCAAATGTAGTTGTTTGAAACGTACCTCTGCAGAAGTGAAGCTATAAGATTGGGAGCAGCGACAGACGTGCCCATGAGTGCAGCTCTGGACAAAGCGGTTTCTCTTACGGCCTGAAGGTAAAACATATTATTAAATCTGATCAATTGAATCTACAAATGTTAAATACATACAGAATAATCCATCACCTTTTCTCCGGCTGCTTTGGACACTCCCACATCGCTCCCGTTAGAGTCAAACACTTGGATCCCATTTTCAGACTCTTCACTTCGGACGATGTACACATTGAAAAAAGCCAACATTGCTAAGAGAAATCAAAACAAACTGTAAATAAAAAACATTCTTTTTGATATAGGGTGTACACTATAAACACTGGCTGGGTTTGGACAGCGAGCCTCGACCTCTTGGAGTGACATAGTTTATTAAAATCTAAGGAAATATGCAAAAAAGTGTATAGTATTTCACATCTAAAAACATAAACAATAGCCCGTTCCTCTGCTTATATTATGGATTCCCCCAGATGAGCTGGAGGGAGTGTGTGTGGAGAGGGAGGTCTGGGCATCTCCGCTCAGGCTGCTGCCCCCGTGACCCGGCAACGGATAAAGCAGAAGAAAAATAGATGGATGGAGATTCAGAGTAAACTTTGAAGGAAGCAGAGGATGGGAGGTCTTTGTTGAATTTTGGGATTTCCTGGACCGGGCTTTTTCAGCACCACTGTTTTCTTTTGGAGCGAGATTTGTGATTTTTGTATATACAAAATAAAGCATGGCTGTATGGTCGGAGAGTGTTTTTGGCTGAGTGTGTGTGTGTGTGTGTTTTGTGTCGTATAAGTGAGAGGGGTCATAGTCCGATAAGCTTTTCAAAGTGTATTGCTGTTATTGCATCTTGTTCATTGATTTTGTAAGCAGTTAAAAGCTAAAACCACAAAATACTGACTACTTAACAATATGAGATCATGTGATTTTGGTTTTTACCCGTTATTAAACCAGCCACACCTTCTCTACCCGTGTGTGTCTCTTGATGCATTAAGTCTGCATTTTTTCGTCATTTACCTGCGAGAGGCACCGGTAAAACAGTCCGACAAAAGTGCTGCGCCGAAACCGCTTGCACTTGAAGACGATTGATAATGACTTGAGGAAGAGCCTTTGAAAAGATGAATTGAATAAGTCAAGCTGAAACCGTCACAAAGTGCCTCATGAAACAGGTCACTACAGAGAACTGAAACTGAACTTAGCATTTCTGTCGTGAATATCGTGTGAAAATGACCAACCCCGGAGAATGTGGCATAAGACACTGTCCCCAGGTTCAAGAAAATCTGCTTTAGAGACGTCTTCTTTTCCTGTGGAACAAAAAGAAGAGCAGAGTTACAAATTGTTATGGCAGGTTTGATCCGGTAAAAAATTAAAAGTAGTATTATTATTATTACACTGGGTAACAAAAAAATAGTTTTTGAAAATAGTCCAGGGTTTTCCAGCTGAATTAGACTAATGTTGATGCTCTGAGTCCGAAAATGACCTTGGTTTTGCTCAATCAGGTTAGGATTTTTTGCTACAGAAATATTTTTTTAAATCGATTTGCGTAAAAAACAAATTTCTGCGGATCATCAGCTGAGAAACCCTTGACGTTTTTTCCGTTTTCCTCAAGAAATAAAAGTCGACGTATCCAAAGTCATTCAGTTTTTATTTACTCCATCAGATTTGATAAGCAGAATTCATAATAACGTAGACGTACGTAATCCGTAACACTATGGCTGTATCTCAAAAAGTTGACCTGATAGAGCAACATGCATGTGATATTCAGACTCAGAACTCCAACATTAGTCTAAATCAGTTGAGAAACCCCTGTCCATAATTTCCAATCAAATCTGGAGAGATGCGAAATTGACTCAGAATGACAAGAAACAACTACAAGACTTCTTTTTCAACACTTGAATTTTAAGATAAGATATTCCATTATTAGTCTCACAGTGGAGAACATTTCAGTGTCATCGTTGCGCAGTCTATCATTTAAGACAATAGACTCTGGAGCTATAATGGCACTTGGTTCAGAAGTATTTACAGATGTCTATAGTGTACTTTAGCAGCGGAGAATATGAGCAGGATAAACAACAGTAATAATATCAACAGGTAAAGTGACTAGTGAATGGCAGAAGTATCAGATGGATGGATATGTCATAATTTTATAATAATGTATAAAACATGTACTTATTTTCCAACTTTTGTGAACGTAAAGCACTTTGGGTAGCTGGTGTTGGTGCGCTTTGTAAATAAATTCGTTGCACCATTGAGAGTTCACTTGTTGGTTCTGTGTCTGTGTGGTTTGGAAACATCACAGATAAAGAAAAGAGAGCTTTAAACAGGGTGCTCCGCTCTGCAAAGAGGACCATGGGCTGTGAGCTTCCTGTTCTGAAGGTTCTTTATAAATCCAGACTTTTAAACAAAGCTCTTAGGATTGTCAATGACTCTTCTGGCCACCCTGGGAAAGCCATGTTCCAGCTTCTTCCCTCTGGCAGAAGATATCGCTCTCTGAGATGCAGGACATCTCGTTACGCTAACAGTTTTTATCCACAGGCTGTTATCAGTGTGAACAGAGCACTTTAATGATTTGCACTTGTTTTGAAACTGTTTTAGTCGATCGATTTCACAGTGACATTTGTTTACTGTTTTATTTGTTTTATTTCTGTCTTTTAATGTTGTTTTATGTCATGGGGTGCCGTTTGTAAAAATTCTGTTAAAATTTTTTAGCTGAACATTTTTCTACATTTAGCTCACTTTCCTCACATTTAGCACATTTTCCTCACATTTAAGACATATCTATATCTAAATATTATATCTATATCTAAATGTTAAATGTTATATTTAAATATTATATCTATATCTAAATGTTATATCTATATCTAAATGTTAAATCTAAATGTTAAATCTAAATGTTAAATCTAAATGTTATATCTATATCTAAATGTTATATCTATATCTAAATATTATATCTATATCTAAATGTTAAATGTTATATCTAAATGTTAAATCTATATCTAAATGTTAAATCTAAATGTTAAATCTAAATGTTAAATCTAAATGTTAAATCTAAATGTTAAATCTAAATGTTAAATCTAAATGTGTCGCCAAGTGTAAAGCTAAATATATAGAAACCACGCCCACTGCCCGCCTTCCGTGCCGTGTGGTGAGTGGGGGCGGTGCCGCGTGTTTTGAACATAGGAATACACGTGGACCGACGTCACGGCTCAAGGCATGTTGGGTCTCCGGCGCCATCGTCCTTGGCCACGGCACAAAATTAGCATTTTTGTGAAGATTCTTGCTTATTTGCTGGAGCCAGAGTGTATTCACTGTAAACTAAGCCACGTGGAGTCCCGTGAGATTCCTGTGTAATCCCGTAGGGTTCTCACCAGGCACGGAAGGCGGGCCCACTGGATTTGAAGCCACTGCAGTGGGCGTGGTTTCTATATATTTAGCTTTACACTTGGCGACACATTTAGATTTAACATTTAGATTTAACATTTAGATTTAACATTTAGATTTAACATTTAGATTTAACATTTAGATTTAACATTTAGATATAGATATAACATTTAGATATAGATATAATATTTAGATATAACATTTAACATTTAGATATAGATATAACATTTAGATATAGATATAATATTTAGATATAGATATAACATTTAGATATAGATTTAACATTTAGATTTAACATTTAGATTTAACATTTAGATTTAACATTTAGATATAGATATAACATTTAGATATAAATATAATATTTAGATATAACATTTAACATTTAGATATAGATATAATATTTAGATATAGATATGTCTTAAATGTGAGGAAAATGTGCTAAATGTGAGGAAAGTGAGCTAAATGTAGAAAAATGTTCAGCTAAAAAATTTTAACAGAATTTTTACAAACGGCACCCCATAGTATTTGTCTGTGCACACTGGAGACTTTTTGCTAATGTATTCCAATGTGGTTTTTTTACTGCAAATGGCAAATAAACTGAATCTGAATTTGACATTGACATCGTACTTTACCAGCAGACATTCCCAAAGTATGCTTTTAAAAGACAGCCAACAAATTGTCCCATCTCAAACCCAGTATAGTGTACTGGGTTTGAGAAAGGAGCATTTGGACAGAAGGGGCGGGGCGATGCGTTTGTGCTGGGAAGTCCTGATTCTAGCGTAGATGCAGCTAAACACAGCCCCAGCAAAATAAAAAAAAGCAGGATACTTGTGTTTTGCTTGATTCTCTCATAAATTGGGACTGGTTATATTTACCGTGTCCACTGAGGCGTTTCTGTTGGCATAGTTGAAGCCGGTGTAGTAGCTCTGCAGCAAAAACTAAAGGAAAAAAACACATTTTTAATTTTGGTTTCACATATTGTTGTTTGTATGAGCGCAGTAGAAAAAGACATTGGATCAACAACCTGGCAAAGAAGAGCAGATTTAACCGTGCTGTGGGGAAGAAATGCTGCGTAAACCTGAAAAAAGACAAAATATGAATCATTTCAATATTCTCAAATAGATTACATGGTACATTTTGATTTGAAACGATGTAAACACGTACTATCGGGGTGGATATTGGAAACAAGGCTGCAGGAAACGGACAGATAAAGTTTGTTTGGTTTAAAATGACAGAAATATGATTGTGCTTGATTGTATATGTTATGATTATAGGATTATGAAGACAGACCTGGAGGACGGTAGATCAGAGGGAGAACTTTCCCAGTGTCTGGATGCACCGAGGACTGTAAAAAGTCATATTGAAATGATAAAGATCAGACTGAAGAGAAATGAATGAGTACACTTGGTACTAGGGCTGTAGGATTGATCACTATCTAATCAAAAAGTGACAAGGCACAAACAGGAAATGGCAAATTCTGCAATAATGTTAAGATTAGGTTTAAAAAAAAATGATAAAAAATGACAAAAAATATAATTAAAATGAAGAATAATATTAACAGCATGCATATATTCTTTGATGGTAATTTAAGAGTATTAAAAATAGAAATAAATAAATAAATACAAAACATTTTCCATAATTTCTAAGCCAGATTTTTTTCTGTATCTATTTATTTTTTTATTTCAAGAATCCAGTGAGAAATGTTCAAGCTAAAACACGCTATATTTTTTTACATTGGAAAATAAAACCTTAAAGCAAACTAAAATAATTACTTTCATATTTATTTATCAAATTGAAATATTAGTTCAATACCATTGTAATCGTGCAGCCCTAACACAGAGATATCATACATGTTGTACTTTTGTGACTTACAAGAGAAAGAGTGGCAGCTGTGCTCACATCCTGTACGTAAACACATAAATACAGTTAATACATGTTATTTAATACAGTAACCACTTATTTTACTCATAAACACTTACTTTTTCACTTGTCTTTTCTCCACTTCCATGAAGAGTGTAGGCCTTTTGGATTTCTGCCTGTTGAAAAATGCAGCGTATTCGTATCCATGTAGTTTAGTTTACAGAAGTATAATTGGTACCTTAAACCCGGGGTACCGTTTTTATTTATTAAACAATGGGACAGAAATAGAACAGAATGTCTTGTAAAAGTAAAATAGTGTGAAAAAAATCAGGGGCAACAACATTCAGTCTTCATCGGGTTTGTACACTAGTAAGCATGAGCCCTGTGAGTCACTATTGGATGGTTTGGGCTGAGAGCTGATTGAAGTGAATGAGGTGCTCAATTTGTCATTAACCGCATTAAAATGTATTTATATGATTGTATGGAGGTTGTACTGTGCTGTCAGTGACACAAATAAACTTATATTCCTGGATTCGGACTCTTTAGACATCTGCAAAGTTTGTCCACGTAGAATATTGCAGGTTTTTTTTGGGGTGCAGAGATTTCAGTCAGGTTCATACGTTACTACATAGAAAGAAAATACAAAATTCTAATAATAATTTTGGAGCACCCTTTACATTATTCTTTCCTGTTATTACACTGATGTCATTATTCTTGACCTCATTTGATCTACTTTTAGCAGTGCAAACTACAGTAAGTATCAGTCATTTTAGAACAGGATAATACTGAGCTACATTACTTACATCAGAGGAAATCAGTATAGTTGGATCCAAAAGGTCAAACCAGATCTTCAGACGCTCGAGAAATGACTAAAACAAAAACAGCTCAATGAATGAATGAATGAATGAATGAATGAATGAAATAAATAAATCATGCTTCTTCCGTAAACATACCAGGCCGTGGCTTTTCCAGTGCAGTAGATTAGGATCCATCACACCAGCTTCAACAGTGCAATTGTCCAGTTCATATAAATAAGACCAAATCAATTATATGCTGTAAAGATGCATTACATTTCTCATGAGGTCAAATCATCATGCTGTTGTGTTTCTAGTTCCGTCTTCGGTCACATGGTCATGTTGTGTTCAAGGTAACTGGGGAGAAAGTACATCATCACAATTTGCAACTTGCTTGAGAGATACAGGAGAACGCCTTCTTAGATAATAATAATAATAATAATAATAATAATAATAATAATAATAATAATAATAATAACAATAACAATAACAATAATAATAATAATAATAATAATAATAATAATAATAATAATAATAATAGTACAATGATTTCCCACAATGTATTGTGCCATACGTTATTGAGATCTATTCTATTTTTATTAAAAGCTGGTCTTATTGAGTATTCATATATCTAAAGAAAAACACAAAGTACAAGAGTTATAACGAACCAAATTCATAGTGGTTGAAAAGCATTAGACAACAAGAGAAAATTAAAAAAAATATCAGTAGATATAGCATATGGTCTCCCCCTGGTCTCTCTGGTCTGGTGTGTAGATTTTAGGTTACAATAGATATTATAATATTTACAGTCTATGTAGATAACCCATTTCATATACATATAAAACCGTCGTGGACATTTAACTACTAGACCGCACCACAATCAGATCAATACAATGTGGAACAAGCCTATTGCACTGAGCTCCCTTAAGGATTTTACTTTACAATTTAAATCACATTCACGCCAACATCTAGATGGCGGAATTTTAAGTATAATAACAATCTCGCTAACTAACGAGCAAAACTAATACAGCTTAAGTTATGCACGTTTTAGTTTTGTTGTGAAAGCTGTGCATGTGTCTCAAACTAAATCTTTAATCTCTGTTCATTTGGGATTTTAGATTACTAGAGTGGTTTTCCCCATATTTTCGAGAGAGCTTGAATGCATCATGAAACACCGCAAATGACGTAGACAGCTCCGCCCACAGAGTTCACAATCCAACATGGCGACCACCGTGGGGAGACTGCTCGGGACAAGTGTAAGTGCAAGTATTAAACCTGCCTTTTCTCTTCTTTTTGGTCTTAAATTAGATAAACACAGGTGTAGCAGAAAGGGGCGTTTGTTTTCGCTTGTGGTTCGTCGTTATGTTTACCTACTCCGCGTCCATGTTGCTTATGTCATGTGTGAAGTTGAGGTTACCCTGCGCCTGCGCACCTGTCACGCAGTCCAAACACACACACACACACACACACACACACACACACACACACACACACACACACATTGTAAAGGTCATTGGGTGCCTCTGCCTAAAAATACCGACTTACGATGCATTGCTAATTGATTAATGAATTAAGAGGTTTAGGGATCACCTACTACTAGATTCTGTCAATGATTGTTGCTTGATTTTGTTTGTTTATTTGGATTGTGTTTTTGTTTTGTTAAGCACTTTGAATGGCCTTGTGCGTGCACTGTGCCTTGCCCTTCCAATTGTATGTATTAGCTAAACCAGTATAAGTGGATCAACTGGATCACATGAACCGAAGATCTTAAATTCAAATCTATGAAAAATCATGTAATTAAAATAAGGTTTATGGTTTCACCAATGTCAGATGCATGGAATGAATGGAAACACTGCTTTAGGTTTTTGCAATATCACAATTTTTAATGAGCCAAATACATTTTGCAGTTAGTTGAATGATTACCTGTTATTTATGTAATATAATAAGTATGACTGCTACAATTCAGTAATTATTTGCAATCCGATATTTAGTATAAAATTATCTATATACGACCAACTTTAGACACTTTCCGAATGATGAAGGCTGATAATGAGATGTGTAAAGCCTTTGGAGGACATAGTCAAAAAAAATCCCAAAATGGGAAAATGTCCTGGATGTTGCACTGTGCTGAATCTTTTTCTGTATCAAGGCAAAACTAGTGACTTGTAAACTACTTGACTAAGGATGAATTAGATTTTGCTTCTAAAAGTGACAAAGCTACTATCATTTTATGGTGCTTCTTTATATTGGGACCCGATTCCTCATATTAACCTCTCTAATTATGAACTGTTTTGTGTGTTAGGTGAAGTTCGCTGCTGGAGGACTCCGAAGAGCAGCCTTCTGTCCACACGCTGCTAAAGTCCTCTCTGCACCTGCTCTTCAGAAAGCCTCCTTCTCCACCAGTAGGTTCAACACCGTCACACGCACAAGCCGACGCCAAATACGTTTTAAAATGCCTTGTTTGTGCTTCACAGGTTTGTCCAGGTTTGGGGCAGCGGTCACTCATCCCGCCCCTGCGTTCAAAGCCACAGCAGTCCACAACGGGGAGTTCAGGGAGATGAGTCTGGAGGATTTTAAGGGGAAATATCTGGTCCTTTTCTTTTATCCACTAGACTTGTGAGTATATCATGACTGGACACTCTTCTTTCCAATATTACTTACTATGCACTGAACAATTGTGCATCTTCCAGCCATAATCTATAGTTTATCGATATGTATGTAGAAGGAACCACTGCGCCAGAGTTCTGCAATGTTGCCCCAGATGCAAGCTATGGGAAAGAAATACGAGAGAATACTTTTTGCTAATATCTAACAGAATTTTGAAAAAGAGTTGAATGAATTAATCATGCAAACTTCAAGCTTAACTTTCAAAAGCCAGTGCACTAAGTTTTCTAAGCAGCAGACTAGTCCTAAATGCAGAAATGACTGAGGGATATGAACTTAATTTTCAGCCTAATGAATGACTTAATAATTCGTTAATATGTCAAAGTAATTTTTAATTCAAATAGTTTCAACTTCAATTACCCTTTCAAAAACTAAAGATATACTTGATTCTGATTTGCAAACTCATGACTGAACCGAGGGACAATACAGTTTTAAAATACAGGTTCTGTAAAAACTAGCTTTTTAACGTATTTTGAGAAAGACAACGACATGTCAGAGTTGCACATGGCTGTTGTCACTGTTCTGTTCTCAGAGTGTGCAGTGTGCCATAATCGTTCACGCCGCCTCTGTCCCCAGTACGTTCGTGTGTCCCACAGAGATCATCTCCTTCAGCGACAAAGCCAGCGAGTTCCATGACGTGAACTGTGAGGTGGTGGGCGTGTCCGTGGACTCGCACTTCACTCACCTGGCCTGGGTCAACACGCCGCGCAAGGCAAGTGGACGATCGGCTCATAACTGTACATGCAAAAAACTGTCATGACAATTTTATGAGAGGAATTAAATTACTTAAATAAACCTGGGCTACCCCCATTTTCAACCTGCGTTTTAGCTTCTATCAGCATTTGCATTGTTTTGGCTTTCGGGGCCTTTAACTCGGTCCTCAAAGTAATGTGTGGCTGCAGGTTTTCATTCCAACCGAGCACAAGCACAGCAGACTCCACCCATTTCCCCAAGTCTCCAGGTTAAGACTGGACTCGCTTGAGGAGATGGGTGGAATGAAAACCTGCAGCCACACAGCCCTTTGAGGACCGAGTTGAAGACCCCTGGTTTAGAGAATCAGCCATTCAGTTCAAAATCCAAAACTCGCAGGGCTGCTCTTTGACACGTTTGCAAAAGGTATGATTTATAGTAAGACAAAGATTGCCTGTTGACAGCATTTATTCAAAATGTTTTTCCCGTTTGCTCGTAAGTAAGCTTTACTTGTCTTTCACTGACAGTCAAAGCGCTATTTTATACAATTGTTGTGAGCATTTTTCCTGTCACTCCACACAGAGATGGGAGTGGAGTCGGAGGAGGCCAGACCTGTTGTACGTGATTTTTTTTTTGTCGTTGGTGAAACTAGAGCAGACAGAGGGAGAATGTGCAAACTCAACACAGAAAGGCCCCGTCTGGAGGCGGAATGGAACCCAGTACCTGCTTACTGTGGAGCATTAAGGCTAACCACTCTGCCATGTGCCGCCCGTAATGATCTGTTGTAGTCTGTCGGTTCGTGACACTGTTCTAGAGGATTTCCTGCTGTGGTTCACTGCGCATTGACCCATAAAATAGTGTAGAGTGTATAGTTATGTTTGGTTTCCCTTCAGGCTGGAGGTCTGGGACATATCAACATTCCCCTGCTCGCCGACCTGAACAAACAGATCTGCAGCGATTACGGGGTTCTGCTGGAAGGACCTGGCATCGCACTCCGGTAACGTCGTTAACACGCACTGTACAGAAATACAACAAAACTTTAACAAAAAGATTTAACTTGACATCAGCGTAAAACAAAAAAACTGCACTCTGTTCAATTGGACTCGTCTCAATCCATTTTAAGCGTGGCGTGTTGAGTGCTCGCGTTTCCTTGATGGGATCAACTGTTGCAAATGTGCTGGGTGTAACAGACGAGTGCTTATCAGTGCCGTGTCTGTGGCTTTTAGAAAACTCTAGACCAGGCTTGTTGTTTTTCGGAGTCTTATTTTCTCTGGTCAAATTTGTCCTTTTTACACCACTATTCTTTTTTCTACAGTAATGAAGCGCTTTATCTATTTATATATACATTAACCTCTTTAAATTTCTGGTTTTGGAAATGTTAATATTTTACAGCACTTTCAATATGGCAGTTCATGACATTTCAAAGTTTTCTAGGACTTTACAAACTACTCTTAGTGTATTTAAGTCATTTATGGGCATTGGTCACCCCGCTCCCTATGGACCAATGGCTATCGTTTGTTATTGCGTTGCCAGCGTTCAAACTGATTCTGTTTCGACAATTTTGTAAATTCCTCAGATGACTGCTGTTGTGATTCAGGGCTGTGTAAAAACTGCTCTGTGTTCGCAGAGGTCTGTTCATCATCGACCCTCACGGTGTCGTCAAACACATGAGTGTGAACGATCTTCCCGTCGGCCGCTGTCCGAACGAGACGCTGCGTTTGGTCAAAGCTTTTCAGTTTGTGGAGACGCACGGAGAAGTGTGCCCCGCCTCCTGGACCCCCGACTCTCCCACCGTAAGACCTCCCAACCATTTCATAGGAAATACAAAATTGTTTAAACAGTGGTCTTCAAACAGAGGATTGGTTCGCTGCAGGATTTCACTCAAACCATGCACGTGCACAACAGACTCCAGTCCAGTGTTAACCTGAAGAGTTGAATTGTATACCACTGTAACCACTGGTTAAATAGTAATTATCAAATATCTTTATCTGCCATTCACCAATTTGAGAAAGATTGAATTGAACTACTTTGAGGCAATCATAGTAAGTTCAGGGGTACCCAAAATGTTTAGTTCATGTTGTTGATCCCGACACAACTCTGGATCGTAAAACTGCTTAGACAGGATTCAGGTGCTTCATGAGATGTCCATATTGATAGAGCTGAATGACAAACGCTTAACCATCTCACCTGAACATTAGCATGATCTACACACTTTTGTTGCTTAAATGCTAGTATTTTTAAATAAAGTGGTAGAGCTGAAGATGGCGTTTATGATCTCAGACTACTTAAGGCCAGCGAGCCTTAGTTTGGACATGTCTGGTGTAGTGCAGCTTCATCCAAAAGCAAACATCTGTTTTTGTGGCTTCATAATGATTCTATGTTCTTCCTCTGCAGATTAAACCAACACCAGAAGGATCCAAGGAGTACTTTGAGAAAGTCCACGATGATTAAACCAAGTCCCGTCTGCGTACATCAAGTCTCATCTACATCTTGTCACGTTCAGTGAGAGAATAAAGTCTTTATTCTAATACTCTTTCTTATTCACAATGATGGACCAAAAGCAGCTCAACAGATATTCATAGGATACACAAGAGCTTTCCCAGAGATCTGCCTCAAACAGTGCATACTTTGTAAAGTGAAGTCACACCAACTTCATTACCTGCACTGGGACCAAATGCAAAGGCCAAATTTAGTTGGTAGAAGCCCAAGTCTTAGTTTTAGCCATTCACTTCTTAAAGACTTTACATTAGAGCAGAATTAGGTCATTTATTGCTCAAATTAACATTAGCAGCTTTGACGGGTGAGCAGCAAGACACCAGACAAGTACAGCACACCTAAATCGCTGCACTAGTTATGGATCATTTCCTCTGGACTAAAACCATATGTATCCCTTCTATGGCGAGCTTTGCCTTCTTAACCCGACATGCCGAACAGGAACCACTCTTTAACCCCTGTACATAAACATGTTTATTTTCTCTTTTTACAGCAAGTTAATATGCAGGTTCAAAATGTCTATAAGCAGACATCGGTACACAACATGAGGTGTCAAATCAACGTCAACGGGGGCAGAACTGGAAAGAAAAAAAAAAAGGCATTGCCACTTCTCGTACATTTAGGGTACATACGGTATTTACACAAAGTGAGAACCAAGCATCGTAACACGCGGCAGCTCTGCATGTCGTGTGGAAACGTCAAATGTGTCCATAAACTTCACTTTGTACAGTATGAAATAAAGCGACCGGCCTCATTCCTTTGACATTCACAAGATGGTTAGGTTTAGGCGGAAATAAAACGTGAGGGGAGGTGGATTTACCCAGAGTTTTAGGGCCTTAAAGCTTTAAATAATAGACCTAACCTGCAGTAGGAGAAATGTGAGTGGTGGAGCGGATTCTGGTCTGGATTTTTGAAACGAGGACTGTATAAAGTGGTTTCATAGCTCCTGTATTAGCCAATGGGCAGCAGATGTGCAAACTCGTTCATTTTAAATATCCACAATGCTTTTCTACAACCTTTTTGTACAAGTTCCCTTTTTCCCCCCAGTGCAGTCATCCCGGGGTCTACTTTCTACGTCTGTCAGTAACCTACCTAGTTCATCCATGCATTTGTATCCACGGAGAAAAGTCAACAGTTCTAGCTTTAAATGTGTAATTGTGAATGGCTTAATAGTTAAAGCTGGAATACCTACATTTCAGACCACAACAAAATCATAAAAGTAAAAAATGACCACTGCAAAAGATCACGTTTTCTAATAAGATGAAGGAGAAGATGTTACTTTTGCAAGACTCTGTTGGGGAAAAACAAGACAGATTATTCGAGATATAAAAAGTTAGGTATCTCAGCTTTAAAAAGACTACTGTACACCATCAAAGGACCCATTGAAACTGGATCGGTAACTATAATACAATGCTGCAGCTTACATTGGACTAGGATTGGAAATGAACCAACTTGTAATGAATATACAAGAAATTAAAAAATATTGACAATGTTCTATACTGCCTATGCCCAAGGCCATACAGGAGCCATTACGGAGGCTCCTAACTATGTGGGAAATTGATAATGGCTTGAATTCAACAGTATTCATCTTGTTTTGAGAATATTTGAACAATTGCAGACAGAGAAAGTTTGGTCTAATGACAAGCGCAGCAACCTCTCATTTGTCACAATGTCAGAAATTGCTTTTATTTTCCCCATTCTCTCAACATTTGCTTTTCAAAATATACACAAATCAAGACAAAAAAGCAGTTTCTTCAAGCGCTTAACTCGTCATTTCTTGAAAACCCAAACGACTATGGGTACTGTATGTCAATTTAAAAAACTGCGATGACTAAAGTGAAAAATATTTGGTGAAAATTTCATGCAACTTCAGGCAAGATGTAACAGCCCCACCCCAAGCACCGAACAGAGAACAGCCAAACCAAAGGAATCAAAATATAATCGTATTTGTTTTGAGCTTTGAATGATTCGTTAAAAAAAACACCCTGTAGTAAACCTGTACAACGAAAATACATCTGGGATCTACATCTAAAGGTACATCATAAGGTTATATACACTCCTCCCTCATTCATATATTATCTTTACAAGTAGACTTCATTCAAACCCAAACATTAAGAAAACGAGACTTAAACGGGGGAAAAACAGGACCACGGCCGACGTCCTCTTCATAAAAAAATGGGCTCTGTACGTCCGGGCTGTACAGTGAGACTAAAATATAGACGGATGGACTGCTGCTGTAACGGGGTCGAAGGAGGCGATGGAATGATCTGTAGGTGACGACAGTATTTTTAATTGTTTTTCTGTTGCGGTGAAAAGTAAATCTGAACAAACTACTGCACTGTGGTAGTAACGCTATGTGACTTCAAGAATACAAAATAGAAACGTCAGAAAAAACGGGCACAGACCCAACTCCAGTATTTCTGACACAATAAACAAAGGCTTTCAATACACTTAGGCCTCTTCACTGAAGAGAGCTGCACTATATCCATCAATACACGTGGTCACTGGTCTCAGAGGGACTGGGATGGAGGAAACCAACAAGGAGCCAATGCAACCTTCACGTTTGCCCCAACCGAGTGTAGATTTGGAAAGCTTCAGATAAAAACCAAACTGCTCAGATCTGCTCTTGTAGTTTAGCGGCGCAGAAATTCATTCAGAAAGAAATGGAAAAAACTACATTGTATAAAGTGAGATTCTCACAATCTCTTTGCAAGAAAGAAAAGTACTAAGGAATGACTTGTGCCGCCGTCTTCCCAGATTCTTGGAAGCAAATCCGCTCAGATCCCTGCTGTGGTGGTTTCATTACTTTAGTCGATTTTCACATTTGTGTAGATCTTCCTGACGAAGGCACTTGTCCCCATGTATCCCACCGCACCTGCAGCACAAACACTTATTAGGAGTAAGTTTCTATAAACATCAAACACTAGATCATGATTCAAAACACAGAAAGGTCCAACGCACTCTTGTCACTAATCTGTGAGGCTTTGTCCACAATTAAGACTTTTTAAAAGTCAAAACGCAATGGCTTAAGGCGTTAAAAAAAACTTTAAAAAAATGGACATTCACTTCTTTGTTTTCAGTATTACCTGCCCCCGAGGACCATGGACAGCACCTCAGAGCTACTTAAGATCTGCGTGAGCCTCCAGCTCCTGAATCTGCTGCACTAAACTGTTCTAGACAACAACAAGCATTACACTGCAACATGTTTATTTCTAGATTATTTTAATGACTTCAATAGGATTTTGTTCCTACTGTAAATAATAATTGGTTCACTGCTTATTGCAAGATGTTTATGCCGACTACTTCAAAAAGTAGCTTGTAACTAATTTCAAGCATTTGGAAAAAATGTCATGTCTCCAATTAATCTTAGTGGAAAATAGCTACATGCAGAGTTATAGCATACATTAGTGATCACATTTTCTTTCATGAATTGGATGCCATCTTTTTGGAATATCATACATTTGCAAATATACAAATATTTAACACCGGTTAAATATTTGCCGTGGGCGGCACGGTGGCTGAGTGGATAGCACTCTCGCCTCTCAGCAAGAAGGTCCTGAGTTCGAATCCCGGTCGGACCAGGGCCTTTCTGAGTGGAGTTTGCATGTTCTCCCCGTGTCTGCGTAGGTTTCCTCCGGGTACTCCGGTTTCCCCTACCACTAAAAATATGTCCAATAGTTCTAGCATGCGCCTCCTGTACTGGCGACCCCACTCCCATTTCTGTGTGGAGTGAGAGACAATTGCCCAAAATTAACAATTGTAAACCGCTTTGAGACTCAGATCTGCAGTGAAAAGGTGGTATATAAAAAAAAAAAACAAAAAAAAACAAACCGGTTCTGTCCAAACTCACCACACATGATCCCCAAAGATGTGCTGAACACCGCCATGTAGCCGAAGTAAAAGGACGTCTGGAAAAGCCCGTACATTCTGTGACAGAGAGACAGAGAGAAAGGGAGGAAGAGAGAGAGAGGAAGGGGTCAGACCGTGACATTTCACTCAGAGCTGTGTTCAAAGTGAACGGAAAAACTCACTTGGTTTTAAAGAAGTAGTAGTAAAAGGAGTACATGTACACATAGACCGCTGTGGAGGCCGCGGACAGGAAGCTGGTCCACTGCCTGGAGAGAATCAAGAGAAGATCAATAACGATCAGCTCATAATAAATAATAGAATAATAAATGTTTTCATTATTGTTGGTAACTTTTAGAATGATGTATTTATTATGACTTGGAACTACCATGTCACATCCATTCAGACACATAAACGGGCATATAAAACACATTACACAAACGACATACAAGGCCAACGAAAAGGACAAGCGAAGACAAACAGATGAAGCAGTAGTTCCCATGACCACAGACTCAGCCTGACGGGAGGTTGGCGCTCACCATCTGTAGTCCTCGGCGTTCAACAGGAAGTACGTGCAGACGATGGTGACGCAGACCGTGACGATGCACAGAATCACCAGCACCAGCATCATGAAGCCGTACACGTAGTAGATTTTATAAGCCCAGAACGACGTGAAGATGAAGTACCTGCAAACGACACGGAGTTAGTGTTTGGAAATGTTCGGATTTTATTAAGAAGGCGCAGTTTTTGCAATAAGGAGATCAGTCGATAAGTAAGAAAACGAGACGAAAGGACGGTCGAGGCAGAGAAATGTTTAAAATGTAAGTATGATTTAAAATGGATTATACACAGGTTTACACATGTATAATCTAAATGGTACATTGCGTGAACTCGCAGTGCCAATTGATGATTCGAAAACCATGTGTAATAATGTGAATGCAGCTGAAAACGACTGAAAATAAAGTCTTCAGTGTTTTTGAAGCCTTTTAGTCGAGTTCAGTATTTGTGGTTCAGCCTTCGGAATTTCTACATGAGATCTTGAATCCGCGACCAAGCTTCTCACACAAGTTTGCTGACATTTTTCTTATATATTTATTTTATTTACTAACATAAATTTCTTCTAATCATTAATAGAACTGCGGGAATTACACCGGATTGTAGCATTGGACTGATTTTAATCCGTAGTCCCACAGGCGCAATCACAAACTCACATTTGTTTCACATTTCCAAAAAGCAATATGAAACCACTCTTCACTCTGTAAACTCATTTGGTGACTCAAACTGAGATTAAAGGTAAACATAAAATTGTCTCCGTGATCTCAAACCTTAGAATGGTAGTGTATAAAGTACCATTGGTCATTTATAAACTTACATTTCAATGAAAATGGATCCGAATGGAAGGATTCCCCCCAGACACACGATGACAGCCGGCTCCATGAACCTACAACACAGAGAGGATTACGTCACGACTTTTCACTCATGACGACAGATTCAGCGACACAAATGATCACATTAGAAGTTGTATTTCTTCTTCCAATTGTATCCTACATGTTCCCCTTATCTTTACTATTCATTAATATGCAGTAAAGTGCATATGCCCATCCCATCTCAATACACATCTGCTGTACCAGGCACGTCACTTGACACGCCCATTCTCCCCAACTGTCACATTCTTAACTCATTGACGTATTTGTCTGAGACCCTCTTTTCCACAGGGGATTACAGGACAACAAAAATAGCTAGAAACAAACTTATCATTGCTGTTGAAAGTAGACAATCCAGTCTTTCAGAATCTGGTTTCATATTGTACATAGTCCTAGGAAATAATATTCTGTGGGCCTTGAGAATCAGTGAAATCATCAAAAACGGCTGGCAGTCAATGAGTTAATCCGATCTATCCTAATCACGCTTATCATACTTTTCAAGCATTTCCTTTCAAACACATTTCAATTTCTGACTCTGGTTATTCTGCTCTGATGAGAGAACCTTTTTACACCCAAGTTTGTCAGCGTTCATATCCCAAACAAATTAACCGTGTTATCCGTGTACTCTCAGGAAGAATATATACATTAACTAGATAATCAGTCTTTCTCTTTCTAAACATTACCCCAAACATATACAGTAACCCAATGAGAGGTCTTAGTGATTGAAATGCATCAGACGGGAAAGGATCGTACCATTTCTTCTCTGGGATTGGCCGTGGGACAGCGTTCACTCTGCAGGGGAAGTTGGGTTGTCCCGAAAGGTTTCTCCCCAAAATGGTTCCGACGAGGTTCAGAGGCAGAATCACAAAGAAGCAGATACAGCAGACGGCCACCTGCAGACAGACTGTAGCGTCAGTACAAAAGACAAAACCTGCCTGTGTCTGCTACAGTGAGACACCATTATTGTATTTTAGGACATTTATCTGCTGTTATGATTTAAGGCCATACAAACATTAATTTAACTCAGAAATTGATCTAAAACAATGTAAAAAAAATAACATTCGCACACTGACAATGCCCTTTTAAGTGGCCTTAGAAAAACATTGTCATCAAAAAATACATTATGTCTGTATTTTCAAATGCATTTCATCTGAAATAACGCACATTATAGACCATGTGACCTAGTATTATTTTTTATATGAATTTTATTTTCTGAAACTGTATATTGAATCTAGACCCTTCTCTTGACATACAATAAGAACCGCTAACATTTGCTGGAGGAGAAGAACCAATGGTGAAAGATTGCAGAACGATTCCCTCTCTTTGCACGATCAGAGGAACCGAAAGTCACGTTAAAAACCCACTCAACCTCAGACCAACATAAGACATAGTATTTTCTTTTCTTTAAAAAAAAACAAAAAAGCATTTTCTTGCACATTTGAGTAATTTATGAAAGAAATTCATTTAATAAACAGCTCAAACCTAACTCAACATTGCTTTGAAAACAATGTGTAAATGACAATTGAAAACTAGAACCTGCACAAATGAAAATAGGATTGGCTTTAAAATGAGGAAGGAAAACAGAATTTTAAAAGTGCATTTTAAGTGTTTTAGTAGAAGTCGAAGAGCTTTGTTTTGATACATTTATTTAATCGTCTGTGTTCCCCCGATGACCTGATACTAAAGATACAGAGACTACAGAGACTACAGAGACTACAGAGACTACAGAGACTACAGAGACTACAGAGACTACAGAGACTACAGAGACTACAGAGACCACAGAGACTACAGAGACCACAGATACTACAGAGACCACAGATACTACAGAGACCACAGAGACTACAGAGACCACAGAGACCACAGATACTACAGAGACTACAGAGACTACAGAGACTACAGAGACCACAGATACTACAGAGACCACAGATACTACAGAGACCACAGAGACCACAGAGACCACAGAGACCACAGAGACTACAGAGACCACAGAGACACCAGAGACTACAGAGACCACAGAGACCACAGAGCCTACAGAGACTACAGAGACACCAGAGACTACAGAGACTACAGAGACCACAGACCACAGAGACTACAGAGACTACAGAGACTACAGAGACTACAGAGACCACAGAGACTACAGAGACCACAGAGCCTACAGAGACTACAGAGACACCAGAGACTACAGAGACCACAGAGACTACAGAGACCACAGAGCCTACAGAGACACCAGAGACTACAGAGACCACAGAGACCACAGAGACACCAGAGACTACAGAGACCACAGAGACTACAGAGACCACAGAGCCTACAGAGACTACAGAGACACCAGAGACCACAGAGACTACAGAGACCACAGAGCCTACAGAGACTACAGAGACACCAGAGACCACAGAGACTACAGAGACCACAGAGACTACAGAGACCACAGAGACTACAGAGACCACAGAGCCTACAGAGACTACAGAGACACCAGAGACTACAGAGACCACAGAGACTACAGAGACCACAGAGACTACAGAGACCACAGAGACTACAGAGACACCAGAGACCACAGAGACTACAGAGACCACAGAGACTACAGAGACCACAGAGACTACAGAGACACCAGAGACTACAGAGACCACAGAGACTACAGAGACCACAGATACTACAGAGACCACAGAGACCACAGAGACCACAGAGACCACAGAGACCACGCACAGATTTGCGTACAGTACATGTGTTGGCGATAATGTTTTATGCAGGTTTGAAATAAATACCTGTAACATGTAACTGGCCTAAACAGGTTAGTTTAGCTTTGAATAGATCCGTTACAAAGTATTCTAAGTCTAAGCATAGTTCAATGAGATGGAGATGGGTGAAATAACATTCCCTGTGGCCTGGATTTGGATTTTGTGATTTCTCCACATCTCCCTTGTTCATCCTGACATTAAGCATAACTTACCAGGTTTAAAATAAAACCTCTATTCAGATATGTTTACACTGCCATATGTTTGGGTAACTATATTTGTAATTTACTATTATAATAACTCAATATAGACCAAATGGTTCAATTTGAAATATAGACTGGTGTATGTGTGTTTGCTCTGTAGTTGAAAAAAAAAAAAAAAGTTTAAAACAAGATCTCGTAAAAGAGCGACACATTGACGTTTGGAACCACAGATCCACATATTGAGGTGGGACAGAACATGCTTCTCATACTGTGAGGTTTTCAGGGCGGGGTCTGTGTGAGACTCACCATGGTCCCGAAGGGGATCGCTCTGGAGGCGTGGTAATAAATGGCAATAAAGTTGATGAAGAAAGCCGTCCCACAGACCATCGCCGGGATCAGGAACGCCCCGATGAACATCTGCTTTATCCACCTCCTCCCTGTGGAAAGCATCAGTTTAATGATCAGCAAATCACTAAGAATGCATTCACTGAAGTCAGCAACAAAATATCCCGTCTTTTTGTAGTTATCTCACTGCTGTAAAACGCTCTTCACATCCTGCATTTTCAGAAATAGTTTGTGTCCTCGTTTTACTTCTATAGTAAACAAGGGACGCTCAGGCCAGTACAGGATACCATTACTCATACAGGTTCATTTAGGTCAAACACTGAAGTATTTTTCAGACTTTTGAGGATGAATTTATGAAAATAAATTCCTATTTTAACCAAATAAATGAAATAATAGTGGCTAATGAATGAAAATATTGAGGAAAATGTAACACAAGAAGTTACATTTGGCACAAATGATAGAATCCAGATTTAGAAAATTTTCTGGACCTTTATAAAAGGTATTTTTTCCAAAAACAAAAAGTTATTAATTGTAATTGTCAATATATCAAAAGAATTTCTGAAAAAATAAGATTGAATATAGAATATTAAAATGTCATATAGTCAATAGTGGAAAGGGAGAACATGCAAACTCCACTCAGAAAGGCCCTGTTCAGACCATGGTTCGAACCCAGCACCTTTTAGCAGAAGCAAGTGCAGCCGCATATAACAAAATGCAAAGTGCTTGGTGAGTTGAGACTGAACCAGAGCATTAGTCAAATGTTACCTCCTTGTTTTGCGTACAGACTTCCTCCAAAGTAGCCATTTACGGGAGACGTGGCAGCGTACACAAAGATGGCCGTGCTGAGCATGGATCCTCTCCTGCAGAAAAACATAAAAGTTAATTATCTCCAAATAAAATAATCTATTTGACACTTTAGGCTCAGAGTGAAAGTGATCCCTTACATTTTTGTCTGAAAAAGCTGATCTAATAATGTGACAGGAGCCAAAAATACAAGCATTTACAAACAAGTGATAGAATCAAAACGTTTTGACGGCGAGGAACTAGTTACATGGATTTTACCACATTTAATTGGGGTTTGAAAATAGGAATCCAAGCTTTACTAAGTTTTATTTTTATGAAGAAAGTATTTCACAGATTATAACTATTCCCTCTGAGCATAGCCCCCCCTGAAAATGCAGTGCTATCCCGGTTAAAGAAGCTGAATAACAAACACAAATAAGAACAATATTTTTATTAAAAAAGTCAGCAGACAAGTTTCTTTTATCTATTCAATTTTCATCTATAAAAAGGTGCACTCTTCAAATGTCCTGGTGGTGGTGTTCCGTTACTTGAGCTAATCTAAATTGTTTTGTTTGAAGATTTATACAGGTTATTACGACGTGTGTTATATCTGTGGAGAGGCGAGTTTAAGCAGTAAAAATCATCCATACTTGAAGATTTTACATGTTTTAAACCGACTGACTAAACTGAATTTCAAGAAAAGTAACAAATCTATTCCCAAAAAGCAGGTCACCACAAACACAGTAAGTGATGCATCTTTAAATATAGCAAACCAAACAGACACTAGTGAAATCCATTTGCTGATGGGTAAAAATGTAAACATGTGCTCGCTCTGCACCTACACAGCGACCGCCAGTGTGACTCACTCTGTGTACAGATCCTCCACCATGGCCACGATGATGACGATGAAAGAAACTGAGAATATCTGGCACCCGGAGCCGATGAGCGAGGAGAAGATGAGCGGGTGACTGGAGGGCCGGAACACGTCTCCATGAACCTGCTTCCAGCCGTACTCGTCGCCCAGGTCCCGGTCCTGAGGGCGAAAGGGAAGCAGAGGCATGTGGACTACGGCAGGACACCCAAAGAAAAGACAGTCAAAAACATGTATTCCGCAAAACTTACAGAGTGTTCTAGACCAATAATGAAACGTACAAATAGATGAAACTCAGGAAATTAGAATATCAAAAGTCCATTTACTTTTGTAATTCAACTTACAATGTGTAATAATGACTGATTTATTACATGAAAAGTGAGATATTTCAAGCCTTTTGTGTTATATTGTTTTTAACAGGCTCACAGCTGATAAAAAAACTCCAAATATAACACAGAATAAGGCATAATCATCAGAATTAAAACGAAAAAAAGCTTGGCATATGTCACTCTGCTTGAAATTAATCTAAATCATGTATTGGTTAGAGCACATGTGTCAAAGTCAAGGCCCGCGGGCCAAATCCGGCCCGCAAATTAATTTTACATGGCCCGTTGCCTGCCATTGACACTATTACGTCAATTGCGTTTTCCGCTATTTTCATGTTCCCAGATGTCTATTTTATCTAATATGTTTGGGGATAAGCTTGAGAGCATATTGAATCGAGCCAGCAGGTGGCAGTAGCGCTCTCTGAATGGTTTGAAAACAGCTAGATGCACTTGTTGTGCCTCTTTTTTCTCAGCTTTTTGGTGATTTCAGTAAAACTTCCCTCTACTCAACTGGGGATTACAAGCTAGAAACAAACGTATTTTTGCTGATGAAAGTAGACAGTCTATTCTTTCAGAATCTGGTTTCGGTTTTCAGATATACCGAATATATACACAATATTCTGTGGGTCTTGAAAAATCAATAAAAATCATCAGAAACTGCTGGCAATATGGGAGTACCTGTTCTGAGATAGGCTGGTAGGCAATGAGTTAATAAACATTGAACCAGTCTGGCCCTCGGCTCGCAGAAAATTTGTTTTTTGGCCCTCTGATGTATTTGACTTTGACATGCCTGGGTTAGAGTTTGACTGCTGCAATTTTCGGCTTTACAATTTTAACACAATTTCACAGATGTGCCTGCACTATATAGGATGTATCTACAAAGCAAATGTAACAACATTTCTTTAAAGTGTACTTCGTTTTAGGGAAGTATAGAAGCTGTTAAGATTGAGACATTATACTTTATTATTTATTGTCTTAAATCATAATCAATATTTCTCTTATTCCTACTGTCCTGCAATGTGCACAACAATGACACTGAGATTTCCCCACTGTGGGAACTGTGTAGTTTTAACCTGAGAAAACTCACTTCAAGAATCTAAACAGAGATTGGATATGGATTTTATATCTACAAATCATGTCACAGAATTGCATCACTGTCATAAATACTGTGAATATACAGTATATAAATCAGTACATCCCAGTGTATCAATATGTCAAAGTTTAGTTTCACAGTTAGGGCTGTGTATGTTTACAGTGCAGTGGGTGTTTACCATATCGTCCATTTCCTCCTCTTTGCTGTAGCGTGCGTAGTCTTTCCGCAGCGTTCTCATTAAAATCATGGACACCAGCCCGACCAGGAAGATCACCATCATGAAGGAGTTAAAAATGGAAAACCAGTGGATCTAAAACAGAACATGCTCACATTAGTCGAGATGAAGTAAAACTCTGTGGGATTAGGATCACAGAACAAGTCGAGGCGGGAGGAAAATCGCACTTTTATTCCATGTTTTAAAGACAGCAGCTGAATACTGAGATTCTCTAAATTATTTTGGCGTGACCCAGTTCTAGCCGGCCCAAGCCTGTGCGCGCTTTCAAATATGCCTCTGCTGTAAATCATAGCGACTTGTCAGCACGACTGGAGTGTTAAAAGTTTAACACTGAGAAATGAATACTCTGTACAAGCGAAGGACTATCACAGCACATTAACTCCAGCACAGATAAAATACATCCTTAAGCAGAAAGCAAAGAAGCGGACATCAGCATTAAACACATAATACCAAGAATACTAGTTAATGGGTCAAGAATGATAATATTGATATTAGGGCTGTCAAAATTATCGCGTCAATTGGAGTGGATTTGAAATAGAATGTTAAACATGCGATTAATCGTAAGTTAACTCACCATTACTATGCGATTAATCAACTAAAAACATTAAATCGTTTGACAGCCCTAATTGATATCATTCACACCATTAAAATAACTTTACAGATCCAGTAAAGCATCATTTCAAATCTATATTCTTTAAGAAATTTAAGAAATAAATTGCAGATTTGAGCAAAACTTAGTTAATTACAATTTTTACCCCCCTCAGAGTTATTGCAGGTGTAGCGACTCTAGTGAGTATTGCCGCTGGAGAGGAGAAACCGGGTTCGTCTAACTGTATGACGCGCTGCTTGGCTGTCACAGAACACACTTCGACAGGGACTACGTTTCGAGGCGTTTTAATGAAAAGATACCCGGATGAGGTGATAACATAACGCAGACGTCCTGAGATTGAACGCAACAGTGAGAAAACGAAGGCACGAAAAGAACAAACGCAACAAAAACTACAGCGACCCAGCCCCCCGCTCTCTACTACTGATTTTCATTCATAAAACAGAGGTGAGACTAAGTGGACACCGCCCCAGTAACCACGTGACCCGCACATCACCCAATCACAGCCCACTACTGTATTCAATGTATGGCTCCTACAGCAGGTAATGTACAAACAAATACTGTGCTGCAAGTTCTTTCTTTTACCCGTTTGTTTGTTGAATAAGAAATCTTGTTAGTGTCAATGTGAACATGTTGCCGTGGAGTTTGACACAGGCTGAAGGCTCAGAAACATGATGAAGCAGCCCAGACTCCTTAGTGATGGTTGATCGGGAACATTTTGAGATAAATATATAATTAATTTGTATACAAGCTAATTTCAGTTTCATGAAATCTAGATCCAATAGTCTGGGAAATGAACCAATATCAAAGCACAATCATTTCCATTCCAGTTTGGCACAGTGGCAATAGATGTTGTTGTGGCAGATACTAAGATCGATATATTAGAAGATTTGCTGTTGTTGTCAAAGAAGGCATTAGAACCCACTCTGTGCTGGAAAAAGGATGGGTCGAGGTACTTGTCAAATCGGTCTTCAAACTTTACATCCGACTTCTTCCATTTCACCTGAGAAGAGAAAGAATAGTATTTGACACAGACACATGGAACATATTTACAGTGTAATGAAGTTTTTTAACAGATCACAACATAATTATAATAACTCCCATTGTATTCTTCGTTCTTATTGTTAGACTTAGTCATATTTGATACATGACACGTTGACTTTTAACTTTTCCCGGTGTTGTCTGTATTGTGTTATTTTGTATTGTATGTTGTCATCTCTGTCATACATTTTCCTGCCTAGGCACTACGGATGAAAACTAGCTTGGTAGCTATAATCCGGCATATTTACATTTGTTTTATACTGATGTTCATTAATGTGCATTGTCCCTATCAAAAAAGAAAAAAAAACAATATGTAGGATTTAAACCAGGCTGGGTGTTGCCAAGACTTTCCCTGATATACTGTAGATTCCTAAAAACTGAATCAATAGCAAAATACAATACGTGGCTCTAACGATCAGAATATTGTCTGATGAACCGGTAAGACTTCATGCCACAGGGAATAGGTGGCATGAACATCAACAATGACAATACGCATTTTGGCAAATAAAAATTCAATAAAAGTTGAATTGTAAGACCGAGAACCACAGAACTTTCACTTTTAACCTTGTTTATTTATGTACTTGGGTGCTTTTGCGTATGTATTCCAAAGTGGTTTTACTGCAAATGGCAAATAAAATGATTCTGAATCTGAAATTGGTTTGCACAGTGACAAGCGTCCAAGAGTCATTCAGCAGCAAACATTTCTAAAGACACAAAAGAGAACTTGGAGCTGCCCTTCTTGGACAGAAGCGGTGACCGGACAAAAAAGGCAAAAGGGCAAACTCAGCGGACAGTGTGTGTTGTGCGTCAGAGAGGATAAACCAGGCTTTCCTCCTCCATGCTGGGGACCCTCATGCCGAGCCGTTTGGAGATTGGAGACCAGATTTCGAGACAGATTTTGGAAATAGGAAGGTTGTTACTTACGGAATACGACATGGCGATCTTTGTGTTGGGGATGAGTCTGACTTTGCCTTCGCTGGTGAGATTCACGTCCACGATTCTGTTGCCGTTGAATCCGATTTCCAGCTTCTTGTACGTCCACAGGTAATGGTCCTCTCCGTTCTCATCCGCCTCTCCAACGATCCCTATAAAGGAGAAGATTTTTAAGGGAGGGATAACACCAGTGTCTTAAGTTTTGTTTCGCACCAATAAATGCCGCTGCCAGTTGACTCAGAACTCAACTGGGGACACGCCATTATTTACACAAATTAGAGAAACGTCATTGACAAACACACTGCATGCAACGTAGCCAATTCACGCACACCAGGATGTGAGATCAAAGTCTATATATAGTAAAAACGTGTTTGATTTGAGATCAGTCCACCCAGCAATTTTAGTTTGCACAATGATTAAAGTCAGCAAACGGTTCGACAAAAATTAACAATATAGGAAGTAGAAAATCCAAGATACTGTCTTAAGGAAAATAATATCTCTGCAATGTCAAGCTTAATCTTTGCCTGTTTGTGTCATGTTTAGGGTAAATGATAATCGGTCGAGCTCTGCCAATATAGACATTCTGTATTTCATTTTTAAGCTATATATTGACAATTGTAAAAAGTCATCGCTATTTAAAAGCAGCCATGGAGCATCCTAAACAAGCTCCTCCCATCATCCAGGCAACTTCAGCACAGCTAATATACACATGCTATATACATACTTGTAGCTTATAGAATTCAATAATTTAGCTGGGATTGCAGAGATAAAATTTTCCTATTGTGTGAATGTAGCTAGTGAGAAAAAATAATGTCTAAAGTTAATTTAATTCCCATTGTTGTCTACTAGAGTGGTACTGGAACCGCTTTTCTAAAAAAAAAAACAAAAAGAATGAATAATGTCAGTAAAGAAATGATACGTCTTCTCACAATAAGTCAAAGTAAAGGATGTTATTGTGACTTCTCATTCATTTAAAAGCCTTCAGCAGGTCATAGATATCTGTGTTTTGTTATAGCTCTGGGGTCATTGCATCAAACAAGGCCGTGCGATGATACCGATATCCCAGGCTGCAGTGCAAACATATTCTCCAAAGGAAAGTCAGCAAATGCATTATTTATTTCATATGCGGGACGGAGCAGGTCACTCACCCCAGATGGGAAGATCGTCGATGTACATTTGGTACCAGTAGTGGTTCTTTATGGCGTAGACAAAAGCATCGCGCTTGTTCTTGTCCAGCTCGATTTCACAGTACGTCGTCTGCATCACCTCATCTGTAAGGGTCACAAAAACAGGATTAGATGTATGACAAAGAAAAAAGTGTGCCCAAGTCATTACTTTGTTGCCCGTTAGAGTAATCCTCTATTGTTCTGCATTTGGAGGCGGTGCTCGTGTTCTGCAGCTTTAAACAGGAAGTCAATTCACCCGTTTATTGTTAATCCACTCAAAAGTAAATATCACTAAATGTATTGTCTATAATGAACAATATGTCCGGTCAAACAACATGATAATCTTAACTGAAATGGTCTATCAAAAAGTGAACTGGTATATATTGCTTCTTTTTTTTGTGCTAAAGTTAGAGATCTTATACTAGTTTCTTTATACTAAAAAAAGATCTCTAACTTTTGCATAATAGAGTTATTGTTCATTTATCTTGTGCTGTATGCTCCTTATTCCTACTGTCCTGTAACAATGTCCTGATGCAACACTTAAATCCCCCCCCCCACTGTTGAAGAAAAAAAAAGGATTTCTTAAATCTTAATATTTGTGAATCTAACCGACAATGATAACAATAAAAGTGCTTATTTTTTCCACGGCAAAATTGTTAAGATCATGAGTAAAAATCAAATATAGAATATAGATCTAAAAGCTGCACAGACAGATGAGTCAAAGTCGGTTAAGATCCCCACAAACCAGTCATAAGTGTTTTGACCAGACGCTGACATGGATTCTTCTATACCAGACAATGGTAATTTAGCGATGTTATAACCTGGACATGTTTCGACAGTATACTTCCGTGTCCGCTTCTGGAGGTAGACCGAAGTATACTGTTGAAACATGTCATTGTAAAAACATAGCTAAATTACTATTGTCTGGTATAAAAGCCTTTATTTCTACTGAGATGACAAGATGAACCTTCCTAAGCTAGATAGAATCCAACTTGTACCGTTCTTGTAACATTGTCAATTGTCTTAGAAAGCCAATTCATGGAATAACTTAATCTGATTTTGAGCACGGCCGTAATTGCAGCCCTTCTAGAGAGACTGAGCAGACCGTTTACACTAAAAATCTCGTCGTCAGGTCAAAGTGTTTTAAAGAAATACCTTTGAACTTGATGTCCAAGCCGCTGAACTCCAGCTCCACTCCCTGCAGAGCCTCCCCCAGCGTCTCGTGGTAGTGGCTGATGGTTTTCTTGTTGCCCACGCAGAACGGCAAAGAGAAATACTTGTAGGTCTCCTGTCGATTGTGGTAAGGCCCCACCGTGTTCATCCATAACACGACCTCCTCCTTATCTGTGTACTGCAGGGAAAGAGACAAGGGATTGTTTTATTGTGAGGTCTGTGAAAGGAGCCTCTAGTCCAACCTGAATGACTGCTTTGCTCTTTGGAGAATTTCATATCGTCCCAGCATTGGGCTCAGGTGAAATGATACGGCGGCAGTGTAAATGATGATACTGTTTTGTCTAATAAGAAATGTGAAATAAATTCTTTCAACAATCTCATTTTAACCTTGTGGAGGATTCACTTCGAAGCAGGAAGCAGCAAGTGGGTCAACAGGTTTCTCTGGTTTAGGTTTCTCTGGTTTCCTTAATTTTGAGTGAGCACTATTATCTGTGCAGACATGTTTAATTAGAAAATACTGTTTAAAAAAAGTTTAATTAGCTTCAAATACGTTGAATTTCGGATTGAAATGACCTATCTCAATTTTCAGTCTGAATACAAAAAAAACAATGGGAAAAATGTGTAGCTCTTGTATCCATTCTATTAATACATTTTCAACTCTTTTGAATAGAAATGAGTTAAACATAGTTAAATATTAAACCACTCAGTCTTTCAGGACTGCATTTGACTGCTATGAAAGAGAAGTGTGTCTGTTTGTGGTGTTCGATTAATGTATTCTCATAAAGACTGAAATGTTGTACAAATATCTTCCAAAAATACTCAACATAAGGAAAATAAAATGTATAAGTGTAGAGTTTGTTATGTGAATAGGACCAAAAAATGTGATGTTAGATGGTGACAGGTAATGTTGGGGGTGGGTGAAAACATTTTGCCTTTGCAGCTAGCAAAATGAGGGACAGGATACACTGGTCCTGTATGTTCATTATAATAAACAATATTTATGATGAATGTACTATGACGACATGAACAAATAAAAATGTAACCCTAATAATAAACGATCCGGTCAAATTCCAAAAGTATGTTTTAGGATAGTGGCCACGTTGTTGTCAATATACTGCAGTGCAAACACATGAGATGTACCTTCACAACTGTCCACGTATAGTTAGTGACATATAGGACAGAACACAGGACCAATATGTAATGTTCATGCATTCTTTTTTGTAAACCAGGAATAACAAGTTCACTTTGGATGATAGTTTTGATTTTATCTGATTATTTTTGTCTGACAATACTATAACCCGCCTTTTTATTTACAGCAAACATCATACAAAGCTTTAAAATAACATTGAAAAGAAAACCATGCAAGAACGCAAATGAAAATTAGAAAATAGGGAGAGAAAACAGTGACTTTACAACAACAATAATGTCAGTGCAACATGTAGTGGAGAATACAAACACAGATTGATATTGTGAATGTTCTGTACATCAAGTGACATGCACTGCTGTCATGTACACATCCCATTAACCAGCACTAATAATGTGCAACACACTGTAGTAATGCAAGAATGTGCAATGGTTCACAAATCACAATACAGCCACTGACAATTCCCTTTATCTGCATAATTATTCATTATCTTATGCCACAAATACATACACACTCCGAAAACTTGCATAGTGTGGTTATATTTAAGGACACCAATATTGCTTCTTTCATCTCAGTGTAATTATAGTTTTTTACTTCAGATCTTTAAGCACAAAAGGTGTATGATAGTCCCTGAATATTACAGCTTTTCATCTTGTTTTTTTTTATTTCATGCATCTTTTTGAGTGCTTCTTTTATTTCCCTTCAGTGGGACAAAGAAAGGCACTCTTATCTTACAGACATATTTAAATACAGTTATGTATCGGCTGTAAAGGAAAGATGTATATCAATCAATGGTGTCGCTCTGTGGAACAGTCTTGATTGTAAAATTAAAACTTCTAAGTCCATTTGCGTGTTTAAGAAGTATGTTAAATTATCAATGTTACAGAAATATGATACTGCGGAGTAGCGGATCAACTTTATTTACGTATTTTGTGTTTTGATGTCTTGGACCAAAATAAAAAAAAAAACGAAAAGGAAAAAGAGGGCTGCATGAGACAGCTTAAAAGTTAAATGAACTGGAACTGTAAATGATTTTGTGTTGATAGGGGGCAGACATTATACGTTTTTACTTCTTTCTGCTCCTTTTCATTCATTCTAAATGCTGTTGTTGCATTTGTTTTTAAATGAATGAAATAAATCAAAAAATGAAAACATGTAAAAGATGAACACAATCACTGACTCTAAGCCCTAAATGAAATACATGACATTGTATTGATACCAGTCAAACCAGTGATTGAATTCAAAGTAATTACACCACGCAAGTTCCTTTTTGTAACCCAATTAGGACTACTGTACACAACAGCTTGACACAGAGATATCAAGAAGTCCTTTCCAGTGAATCCACGAATGTAACAAGTAGCTGCAAGCTTGTTCAGTCCTCACCAGCAAAGAACAGTGTAACAAAACAAGTAAACACAGAAAATAATTAGTCAGAAATCAGAATACAAAACAGGCCTTTTAGATCTGGGCATCAATGGAAGAGTAAGTATGTGGATGCCTTTAGTCTATACGATTTGCCAAGATAAAAACACAACGTAACATTCATTTTAGATTTATTTTTGAGTTTTTGCCTTTACAACTTAAGGTGATTGTCATAAAAAACAAAAAACCTCCCAAGGCAACATTTATAGTGCAGAGAAAAAATAAATAAATAAATAAATAAAAAAAAAAAATAAATAAAAAAAAAACCCCAAAACAATTACATACAAATATTAATAATCATAATAATACTACACATAAAACAAAATAGTAATAATATAATAAAAAACAATAATAGTACAAAAAAAAAAAAAAAAAAAAAAAAAAGATTGGTATTTTAAGGTATTTTAAGAGCTCTAGCTTGAGTTCTCGACAGGAAAAAGCTTGTGTGGTTGTCATGCTAACGGGCTAGCATCTGCCGCTAGCACTTGTTCATAGGCCGCGTGGGTTCGCTAGCTAACTTCAAGCTACACGGTGATCTAACAACAACAACAACAACAAACAAGCACTATAAATTAACACTACTGCTCGGGCTACGTGTCATGTCTCCCGATACGACGCCAATGCTAGCACACATCTCACAGCGCAAGACGTCCGTTATTCCAGCGACAATCGGCCTTAAGTAAAAGCAGTGTGTCTCACCGTGTGTTCGTGTTCGTCTGCCCGCGCTGGTATTAAACATCCCACGGCCACAAGAAGCGCCAACAAAGCTGATTTCAACCTGGACGGGCCCATGATTTGTCGGGGAAAGTGTGCAGAGAGACGGGGAGGTTAGCTTCTGCGGGGCTATCCCACCTTCTTCCTGGTTGTGTGACAGAGTAGGTTTTTGGGATACCGTCCGCATATGGCAGTCTGATTGGACAGTTCCGGTCACGTGGGCGGAGTGGACCTATGGGAGAGCGGAGCGGCGGTGCACGGGCGCATTCAGCAGAGCAACCTTCAGCCACGTCATCCGAGACTGACAAGAGCCCGTGGAGCTATTATAATAAGAGCCCGTCACCTTTTATACACTGTTTGATGTCTAGGTTTGGACACAGAAGCATTGCAGCAACTCTGCCTCATCCCAGTTTTAGGAGTAACTTACTACTTTATTACTACTTTTGTAATATGACAATAATGTAATCCCTTTGAAGGAAGTGTAAAAAGTTGCAAACAAAGTATCTCGACTATTCTTGTTTTTGTTTTCTCACCGTTTTATAAAAGAAAAGAAAAAATGGTCAATAATTTAGGAAAGAGATTTCTTTTTAGACGTACCTGACGTCATATATGAGCCAGAGATAATTATCTCTGAGAGGGAGTAGGGTTAAAGGTGCTGTATATTCAGTGCATTTTAAATTCTTGCTTTTGAAAGGCCTATTGTGAAACACATTGAGTTATGTATTTTAGAGTAACTTACCCAAACCTCTAAAAGCACTGCTGCAAGATTAATCACATAAACATTAAACCGTCATGTTGCACATTTTACAAATGAGGCTGTGTATAGACGTCAATGCAAGGTTTAGGAATACAAGCATCAATGCAAATATCAAAGCTAATAGAGTACTGATTAGACCGTTCAATATTTTCATATGACGGATACTGTAGTTACTGAGACAAGATTGTAATATATTTGTATTACAATATTATATTCATTTTTGTATCCAACTTGTTTTCATAGAAATTCCCTAACAATATTTTTTTCCCTTTATAAAGGGTATTGTAAAAATGTGAACTTGTGACAAAACGTCTTCAATGTCAACATTTCAACTTGCAAGTCCTCTTGACACTATGAGCAGACCCATGATCGCAGTTCAAGGGTGATTATCCCTACTTCGCTTTTGAAGTTGTGATAATGGCAAAACATATCTATGCATGGTCAAGGTTTTTGTGATATAATGCAATTGCTAGTTTTCAATATCTACTTCCTCATTCTGATCTGCGGAGCTGGGGAAGAGGCAGTTTTCTCCTATGGTCTCTGCACTGGCTTCCTGTGGCTCAGAGAATAGACTTTAAAACAGCTCTGCTTGTGTACAAGTCTCTCTATGGCCTCGCACCAAAATATATTAGTGACATGTTAGTCCCATATGAACCAGCCCGGACTCTGAGGAGCACAGGGACTGGACTCCTGCTGGGACTCTGAGGAGCACAGGGACTGGACTCCTGCTGGGACTCTGAGGAGCACAGGGACTGGTCTCCTGCTGGGACTCTGAGGAGCACAGGGACTGGACTCCTGCTGGGACTCTGAGGAGCACAGGGACTGGACTCCTGCTGGGACTCTGAGGAGCACAGGGACTGGTCTCCTGCTGGACTCTGAGAGCAAGGACTGGTCTCCTGCTGGGACTCAGGGCCAGGGACTGGACTCCTGCTGGGACTCTGAGGAGCACAGGGACTGGTCTCCTGCTGGGACTCTGAGGAGCACAGGGACTGGACTCCTGCTGGGACTCTGAGGAGCACAGGGACTGGACTCCTGCTGGGACTCTGAGGAGCACAGGGACTGGACTCTCTGGACTCCGGACTGGCTCCTGCTGGGACTCTGAGGAGCACAGGGACTGGACTCCTGCTGGGACTCTGAGGAGCACAGGGACTGGACTCCTGCTGGGACTCTGAGGAGCACAGGGACTGGACTCCTGCTGGGACTCTGAGGAGCACAGGGACTGGACTCCTGTTAGTGCCCAGAGTCAGAACTAAACATGGGGAGGCTGCTTTTCAGATTCATGCTGCTAAAATCTGGAACAGTCTTCCTGAAGATGTGAGACAGGCCTCCTCTCTGACAATGTTTAAAACCAGGTTAAAGACAGTTCTGTTTAGCTGTGCATACAACTGAGGGATTTTATATTTGTATCTTTCTTTTTAATGTTCTGTGATTATTTATTATTTTAATGCTTTCTTGTTTTGTTCAGCACTTTGAGTTGCCTTGTGTATGAATTGTGCTATACAAATAAACTTGCCTTGCCTTGCCTTATGAGTCAATATTCAATAGAATCTGTTTGGAAACATGGAACAGTGAAGTGATGATGTAAGCAGTAATCCACTTATTGTTCAATAACTGATGGATACAATAATTTACTTTCATTCTCCATAAAGATCATCGGTACATTTTCCTTGCAAAAGTGAAGTGGTTGTTGCTAAGTTTTCAGCCTGGGAATCCCCATGTTCAGTCTATGACCAATCAATGACAAGAATGTAACTGAATACAGCAATAGATAATGTAGTCTTTGTGAAGAGAACCTGCCTGTGAAAGCCAGATCCTGATCGGGGCGACTGCTGGTGTAAAGTGCCAAAACTGTGGTTGTGTCCTTGGTCAAGACACTTCACACACATAGGGTGGGTCCGGTGGCACACACTGGTTTTGGTGGTTGGAGGGGCTGATGGCACATACTGGTTGCCTCGCTTCTGTCAGTGTGCCCCAGGGCAGCTGTGGGAACATTGTGCCTGCAGTGAATGAATAATGACACATGGAGCATCCAAAAAGTAAGTAAGTTTATTTATATACCGCCTTTCTCAGACCAGAGTCACAAAGTGGTTTACAATTGCTATTTTTGGGCATTTGTCCTCTCACTCCACACAGAGATGGGAGCGGGGTCGCATGCCAGACCTATTGTACACGTTTTTAGTGGTGGGGGGAAACCGGAGTACCTGGAGCAAACCGGAAACGGGGAGAACATCCAAACTCCACTCAGAAAGGCCCTGTTCCGACTGGGATTCGAACCCCCTTCTTGCTGAGAGGCGAGAGTGATATCCACTCAGCCACCAATAAAAAAGATCAATAATAAAAATGGATGCATTCATACTTAACTTGTCATAGATCATGTCATTAAAGTTGTTACCAAAACATTAAATGCAGTATCGCGTCATTGTTTGAAGCTTAGTGTAAATGTTTCTGTAGCTGAATGTGCAGAGGTTTGTTAAAATGTCTGAGTTTGTAGAGGAAAGTTTTCTGTATGCTGCGCTCTAGTCTATTGATATAATTGTAATTCCCCAGTAAATTATTTTGTATAAATTATACAAATAGCCTATGTTGAATTTTGAACTGTACTTCTGTACTAAACTGGAAATTCAACAGAATACACAGATATACTGATAATTTTAACCTTCCTCACGGGATAGTAAATAATAACTTAAATAGACTATGATTGTTACCAGGGTTAATCCACTAATACATGTATATTGTCTTATTGAATCTCTGGCAAAAATATATATGAATAATAAGTTTAATGATTTCCAATATGTATTTAGATGTAAGAATAGTGTTTCTGTGTGAATAATACATCTGTGTACATGTTCATTCATTGAATCGCATATGGCTCAAATCATTTCAAATCATCCTCAATGTATTGTGTTTAATTTCCTGGCTCACATTCAAAATAGATTCATATGCCAACATGTTTGCCCTGATGTCAATGATCACGGCGTCAAAAAGGCTTAAGAATCAGGAGCCGAGGAAACTAAAAAGGCAGACATTAGTTTTGGGTGTTTTCAGATTCGGGGGCTTCCTCTGGCCTCTCAGATACAGTACATTTTGACGGATTTGCAGGTTACATTATTGCTTCACTATGACATGTGTCCAAACTGATATCCTTAAATGTTCTCTTCATGTGAAAAGGTGAAGAAAATAATCACAGTTGGGAAAGTATTAAAGACATTTATTCATAGACTGTGTAGAGGTCTTCGTATTCATTATCACCCTCCCAAAAAATAACCTACAGAACATATTTTAAAATGGCTTTAATCATCTTGGGTGCAATCCAATGCAAACAATCACAAATGCATCTAAACATAAATAACTTCATTTAGTGCACATATTTAGACAACATGCCCAGCAGAGGGCGCCAACTCCAATTATTTGCGTTTGATAAATTGTCATAGCTGCCATTTAAGTCAGGAAAATGCAACTGCTATAATCTATACTCATTCTGACGTCCTGGAAGTAAAAACAATATATCTTTTGCTGATATAAAATAATTTGATAGATTTGATAGATTTTTCTTCAAAAGATGTATTCTTCGGTCTATAAAGACTCCACAAAATTTCTTCACAGGAGAAAAGAGAAACATATTGTATATATTAGAAAACAAGCAACTCAATGATAACTCAATATGATATGGAAAAGGGTAGTACTTTAAGACGGCAGGCAGCTCCGGGTCTCGGTAAAGGCCGTTATGGAGATATCCTTTGCTTCCATCAAATGTGACAAGTTTGACCCGATCTTTGCTCTGGGAACTCGCCGCTATTTCATAAAGCTGCATGGAAAAGAACAAGATAAGTGTTAAAAATATAAATAAATAAGTGTAAATATGTGTCTAAAACTGCATAACTCCTAATACCTGCTGAACAATCTCAATAGGGGCTAAATGATCGTCCTCTGAGTGTAGGAACAGTATTGGGCACTTCATTTTCTTAACACTGCAAAAACAAAACATAAAATCATGAATTGAATAGGAAATAGAAAATTAGTATATATTTCTATTCTACATTTGAATAAAATTATGAATTTCTGGGCTCTTTCTCTTGGCTTGCTTGGAAAAGAGAACATATGTAATTTGCACAATTAGTGATCTAATAAAATCAATACAATAAAGATCAAACTTTTTCTGCCAGAATCTTCCTTCGTGGCACGGATTACAGATGTAATACACCTGCTGGGATTCAGCTAAACATGCAATACTAAATGTCTGTATAACGTATGACTTCTTATTTATACCTGGTTTCATTTAAATGTGTTTTGTGCTAGTTTTGGTTTGTGAATTTAAAAAAAATTAAAACAAAAAAAGGGAAGAGTCAAAACTGCTTAAATGTCACCTAACAAACTGGCAACCCACATGAGAGCTTTAATGTGTCCTATCATCCATAAACAATATGTATTTGTCATTAAAACGTTACATGCTGTCTCTTTAAGTAGAAGGATGTTGCTGAATTTGTGGATTTGTAGAAAAAAGTGGATTCTCTTTTTTAAGACCAGAGCGGAAAAGAAAAAAAAATCTATCAGAAGACTAAAATAACCTTGTTGAACTAATGCAATCTTTACTTACTTTTCCTCCGATGGAAAAACTGCCTTCTTCTCGGGTGTAAATAAATATCTCAGACCAGGAAGACTGGCATAAAACTAAACACATGACAGAAGACAGAGTTAGATGTATGCACAATAACAATAATAACACTGTGTTTGTGTTACCCAATAGAACGGAGAGACTCCACCCATTTTCTGTCGAGCAGAATTAAACGTTCCTTCAAGAATGACGCCATCAAGAACCACACCTGGAATTATAAAGCCAATATAAATGATTAAAACCCCAATGTACACATGCATTAAATCATTCACTCATCATTCTTTTATTGTACCCTTTTCCTGAAGTTTCACTGCAATATTTGTTGAAACCCTGCAAAGGCATATTTTATTAAACAGGTAGAAAATGCATGAAAAAGCAGCTTCAGACATATGAGGTTACTGGATTATTATACAACAGAACTTTTATATTATGATATTAGACTACCACTAAACATTTATGAAGTCCCTCTGAACCAATGGCCCCGATGTGTTTGTTATTATGTATTTCTTGTGTTTGACTCTCTGATCTATTGTTGAGGAATTGACAAATGTTCTCAAAGTCCTGTAAGACGACTGCTATCGTGATTTTGGGCTATTTAAAAAACAAATGTAATCAAATACGTTCAAATCAAGATAAGTTTTGCCAAATGATGCACAAATAAATGAACATAAATCTGTGTCATAAGCTTAAGCAATGTGGATTCCAAGATGGCGGCTGCAGTGACAAGCTGGATCCTTCAGCTCTGACAATTTACTAAATATCAACCAGGAAACGTGCCAAGTATATATCTGTGAGCTTTTGACCCAACAAAAAAACGAAACGTGAACTATTTGATACACCAAAATTATCTATGCCGTTGTGATTTCTCTGAATGGTCAATGATGATGATGACGATGATGAAGCATACCCACCCCGTGCCGAGAGAGTGTCCCCACAGAACCACCAGGCTGCTGCTGCTGCTCCGTGCTTTGACCCAGTCGTACAGGTAGAGGGCGTCGGTGCTCAGGCCGGCCTCAGTGGGTTGTCCGGTCGAGTCACCAAACCCTGAACGGTTCACACAAAACACTTAAACAAACTCACGTAAACAAACAATTCTAGAGTTGATCAAGCACTGATAATAATTATGGCTTCAATTGCGTGAGGCAGTGGGGGTCATCACTTTATTTCATTGAATGCTGGGGGTCCCTGACTGAACAGTTTAGTATTTAGAGGTATTTAGATTATTCACTGAACTTCTTATGCAGTCAAATGTCAAACTCATTTTGGTCGGGGGCCGAATAAAAAAATAGGAAGTGGTCGAGGGCCTAAGGAATAGCATGGACTTATCTTTTTTGCTATATATATAAAGATTAATAACCACTTACTTACTTATAATTGTTTTTTTTGTTTTTTTTATTATGAAGGTATTTTGACATGAGTTTCACTATTTTGTTCATTGCTTAGAATAAACTATGGTTGTTTCCTGAAAAAATAGATAATGTGTGACATGCCTTGGCAACCCAATACCAACAATGCTGCAAGTTAATAATACTAATAGAAAATCATTTTAGGGGCCAATAAAAATGGTCTTGCGAGCCGGATTTGGCCCATGAGCCTGAGTTTGACATGTCTGTTCTAATGCATTAATTCACCAATACTAACGACGCTAGTAAAAAGGATAGGCCGAATAATCATCAGCTTCAGCCTACACCTTTTCAGTCTTTCTGCTGTAAAGTTATCGTTCTGTAACAATGTAAATCAATGTGTAAGGGACTGGATAAAACCTCTTTCACCTCTGTAGTCTGGCACCAGCACATGATAACCCAGAGAACTCAGGATCTGACATGAGAAATGTATTTTACTGGAGAGAAAACAACAGAAATCCTCACACTTAAGTCACTACTCACTTGTGAAACTGCAATGCGATGTGGGGCGGCTCTGTGGAATCAACCCAACGTTAATCTACGGAATGCACTCGAACACGACACCATGAAATCCTTCCGATGAAAGAAAACATCCAAAAGCTATACGTACACATTTATACACGTGTATGTAACTTGCGGTTAAATGCATTTGACTTATTACGGCCCAATTGTCGGTGTTAAAACCATTTTGTGGAAGTGCGCCCCCATGATTCATACCTGTTGTTCGTGTTTCCATGTAGATAAATAAAAACTGGACTTCCGTCTCCCAAAGATTTCTGATACCAGTTGAGGTCTTTCCCTTGTGCCGCCTTCCATTGACTTTCAGGGACAGTGTGCCTTAAAAACAAAATGACATAGAAACATTGATCTCTAATCTTATTGTTATGAATATCGCAGTCTACTGTAACCCAATATGTATTTCTATTATAGTAAATGTGTTAGTTCTTTGTATACATTGTGTGATTCATGTTTATATTGATAATTGAAAGGTAGTGGAAATGCTTGTGGTATTTTTTTATTTAATTCTTCAAACCGCGCTTTGCAAGTAGGACACAGGCTGACGTCAACAGCCTGAAAATATGATTATAGAACGATGATTATAGACGGGAAACAAGATGGTCATGATTACTGTGTGAGCTAACTCTCATCCTGTCGCTGCTGTAGAGTTCTGACCAAAAACAAGAAAATAAATAAGAACTCATTCCACTGAAAACGTGAACCTCCTGTGGTGATGTTTACGCCTGTATTTGTATTCTATGTTTGCTCTGATCTATTCTATGTTTCTATTAGGGGTGCGATACTTTCTCCCGCAATTCGATTATCGATATGCATTTGCCAAGTATCAAAATCAATTTTGAAAAAAAAAAAACATTAAAAAAATTTTTTTTTTTTTTTTTTTACAATTTTCCTTTTTTTAAAAATCGTATCAATACATATATGGCTACATTACGCAGCTCCATTCCATTTATCATGAAATAAAGTGTATTTTTTCTTTTATTTATGCCATAAATTGGCATATTGTATATTTCTGACCAATATATCAATAATCGTCATATCGTGATAAAATCGTTATCGTGATAAAATCGTTATCGTAAGCTTTGTAACGTGTATCGTATCGTATCGTGAGGTACCCTTAGGTTCCCACCCCTAGTTTCTATGCATTTGTAGTCCATGTGTTGCATGTTGTGTGTACTTACTACACTTGTATATAGTAGTACTTTTAAGAAATGTGAGGCAGATTTTGGATTTTCTTTTTTAATGCATGCTTGATTCTAATTTTAACTTTTATAACTTGTCTGAACCTTGAGCCAAAGCCATTTCCTAGTTTGAGACTTCCTGTTACCAACAACGGCAATATAAATAATTCTGATTCTGTATGTCTTCTGTGTATTTCTCTACACTTCTGTGAGCCCAAGTCAAACTAATTAGTCTTGAAACTAGAATAGCGAATAGGTCATAATAAATACATCTACTGGACAGACTGGTTCAGTTTTTGCCAGCGCTCTCTGCTCTCTTCATTGTGCTGAATACAGTATTAGGCTGATTATTTCAGGCAAAAACAGGAGCATCACCGTTATTATTAGGACAAAAAGCATATAACAAAGAAAAAACAATACAAAATTAAACTGAAATGGAGGTGGAAGAAGAATACTAATTTAATCCCATCCCATTTCTACTTACACATTACCTTCTCTGCTTCTGCAAACTTAAACACTTGATGAAAAAGAATTACCAGAGAGCAGGAAATAATACAAACAAGAAAACTAAGGAAAAGCATGTTATTATTGATCATGTAGGCTCCAAAAAAGTCTTGCTCTTGGCCTACAATGTTCTGGGACATTCTCACATGAATGTTGTTGAGAAAACGAGACGAGAACTGAACGTGACCGTAACAGAGATATGAGTTGCATGTCACGTTCTCGTTGTAAGGAGCAGCAGCACACACACGTCAGGACTCACCAAACTCCCAGAGAGATTCCGTCTTGTGGCGTCAGATACATGTTCACCGTGTGATTGAGGGAGAAGTCGGCAGGTCGGCTCAGGTCCACAAAGAACGGCAGTCGAACTACAAACATGATGAAAATACATGTTTATTGTAGATCAGTGCTTCTGAAAGTATAGGGTGACTTCAGAGGGGGCTACAAAGGGCATTCACTAAACAATCATTTGTAATTTATAACAACATTTACAAGTATTTGGTTGGACTCAAAACAGAAATACTGATTTAACATCCATCCATCCATCCATTTTCTTCCGCTTTATCCGTTGCCGGGTCGCGGGGGCAGCAGTCTAAGCAGAGACGCCCAGACTTCCCTATCCACACACACCTCCTCCAGCTCGTCCGGGGGGACCCCAAGGCGTTCCCAGGCCAGCTGAGAGACATAGTCCCTCCAGCGTGTCCTGGGTCTTCCGCGGGGCCTCCTCCCGGTGGGACGTGCCCGGAACACCTCCCCAGGGAGGCGTCCAGGAGGCATCCTGAACAGATGCCCGAGCCACCTCAACTGGTTCCTCTCGACGTGGAGAAGCAGCGGCTCTACTCCGAGCTCCTCCCGTGTGACTGAGCTGATTTAACAAACTAACAATAATGTAGTGGTTTTATATAGCTCTGTTCAGGACATTCAAAGATGCTTCACATGTCACTATTCATTCACTCCATACACAGGTGATAAACTACTACTATAGCCACAGCTGCCCTGGGGCACACTGACCGAAGCGAGGCAACCAGACCACCACCAATCATTCATGCACACACCAGACTCATTCTAGGCAATGTGGGTGAAGTGTCTTGCCGAAGGACATCCCCCATTACAGTACTTTCCAGGCCCTGTTTAGCTTCAGAGGTCTGCTGGGATCTGACGTTCTCATGCAGGTATGGAATCCGTGTATCATTCGTTCTTTTGATTTTCTAAATAAAACCAACATTGAAAAAACGAATAACGAGGGATGTTTTTGATTCTCAATATTTGAATTTAATGCAAAATTGAAATATCGGTTTGTTTGAATGGCCACGTACTGACATACATCTAGGTCTTTTTGTTTGATTATCTAAAGTAAAAATGTGATATATCATTTAAGATAAGGGGTCAAATGGTAATGGGGGGAGAGAGATATAAGATTGGTAAGGACTAAGGACTGAGGATGGCTAGACTAGAGACCAGCTGCAGTAGATTATAGCAAACCAAACAGATAATAAGGAGACATAACATAACAACTAACATAACATAACTGTGGTGGTAACTTAAGGAGAAAGTCAGTCCGCCGAAGATGGTTCTACCTGTAACATTTATAATCTCCTCTTTTCTCAATCAAGTACTTACGTCTGTACATGAAAACAAACTGCTGGATTAGCACAGGGAGGATTTTCACAGAGAATCCCAACACGACGACAGCAGTCAGCGACAAGACCACGACTTTCAGCCACGATGTTGATCTGTCGAAGGTGAAAATAGGATATAGTTTGGCTGTATATTGAACACTTGCAGTAGAAAAGAGTATAAGGACAGTACTCAGACAGACAAATACCTCTTACTACAAACCAGCAGTAAAAACAGTAAACGTAACCATTTCTATTAATCAACTAACCTATAATAAAATGGGTAAAAGGGTGTATGGTATTGTAATGTAATGCAGTTTTAGCCAAATTTATCATTGATTTTTGAATGCATTTATTTTGTCTCCATCGTCCATTTTGACTTTTTGTGAATTGGACAGACCTGTTTGTGTCACCTCTCTTTGGATTTAGCATCACTGCCAATAAACATATCAAGAATCCAAGTTCAAAGTTCAAAGTTGTCTTTATTGTATCACTAGGGTAAATTGGGTTTACAGCAAGAATACATCTAAAAACAGACAGACACAATAAAATCACTGTAACATTGAAGATTACAAGAACAGGAGGAGAGGATGCCACTTCTTTGACTGTCCCCAAAGTTGTTGGCATTCTCAAGATCAATGATTATTACACCGCTGCCTAATTCGATCTCATTTTGCAGCTCATCTGTCACACACAGAATATTTATATAACCACCAGGCTGTTAGCGTGCAGTCACACCAGACAGACATATTTTTTCTTTTGTTCTAAGCAAATCATTGGTGGAGACTTTACAGAATACATTTGCACATAAATAATTTTCAAATTATTTGATTATGAAAAAAAGCAAAACCATGGATGATATGGATGATGTGCACGGTCTAAAGTTTTTTGCTCATTTAAAGTGTGAATTTAATTATAAAGACATTGTGCACATACACTGTTTATTTATGAACTTGTTATGTCTTAACAAGTGAGAAACAGGTTCCTTTGGCTTCATCTGCATCAGATTCTATAATAACCACTAGGGCTGGAATATCTATTTTTGAATTTTAGAATATTATTATTATGATTTGTTGTTTATGCATTATCATCTAAACATATGACATTATTCTGCACCGTGATCCCTAAGCAAAATAGTAGATTGTGAATTTCCAGTTCACCGACAATGGAAATAAAACGTTCTTATTCTGATTCTGAAGAGCACTTAATTTGGTTGATAACTCATTCTAGGCAAAGTGGATGAAGTGTCTTGCCCAAGGACACAACAGCAGTTTGGCACTTTACAGCCGTAGCCGACCCTGCTGTGCCGCCTGGTGTTCCCAAAGGTCTCCCATCACAGCACTAACCAGGCCCTACCCTGCTTAGCTTCAAAAAACCTTCAATGGCGCCACTATATCACACAATTAGAGCATTTATCACGTCTCTAGTTAATCGCAAGCCTAATCGAATAGCAATTAATCGTTAGTTATGGTCGTGTTACTTGATGACCGATTGTGAGTTCAGGATTCCTCGTCTCCATAGAAACAGACCTGTTCAACGTACGCCTTCATCTACAGATCCATGTTTTATTTGCAAACTCACGTCTTTTCCTTCTTCTTCGGCTGGAGTTTTGGAGGCTTCTGGGCCAGCGAAGAATCGTCCTTCCTCGCGTTCCTCTTCTTCATTTTCCTGGCGTTAGTTTGCGTGTGTTTAAAGTCACAAAGCTGCAGCGTTTGGACAGAGTTTGCAATAATCTTGACGGGTTCAAAGTACGCTCTGGGAAGTGGGCTGTTTCTGCAAAAGATTAAGGTAGTATTCAGGGTTAGAGGCGACAATACTGTGCAAACAATTTGATACGTATTTCGTCGCCACCTTAAAAATGGGTTTAATAGTTTTGATAGTCATTTTTTTTTTATGACAATCAAAACTAGATCAAAGTTGTTGCATTTCAGACTTTACTCTAGAGGTGGTCAGACAATTCACAAAAGGATTATGATAAAAACCTGAACATGTCAAATGTGATTATTGAGTATAGTGATGTATAGATATAGAAATAAAAACATGTGATAAGAGCAATGTAAAAAACGAAATTAAAGGTGGGGTATCTAACTTTTTCATTTCATATATATTCAATGTTGTTTATCTCAACATTACATAGTGCATGAATCAGACCACAGCATGATTTCTTTATCTCAATAGAAAGACATTATATCTTTGGCAAACAGGGTAAGTCAATATTCACTGAGCAAGCCTGGCTGTCTCTCCCTCACTTTTCCTTCTGCATTACAGCTGTGACATAAGCATAACTGTACAGGCCAAAACAAATATGCATCGGAAAACTAGTAGCCTGTTTAAGTTCAAATTGTAAACTTGATGAATATTCTCTGCTCCTTAAGCCTCAACAGTATTATAGACAAGAGTAATGACTTTATGACCTTATTTCACTACTGTTTGAATCATAATTAGCCAACTGAAGTAGTAGTACACAAGTTAACCACTAGAGGGAAGCATTGGATAATATTGACAATATCTGCCAAGTCTATGGATCTATTGGCCAAGTTCTTCAAAGCCTTAAGCCCAAATACAATTCATATATATTTGTTAACACCTTTATTGAAATTGAAGTAACATTAATAATATTGTGAAGTACATAGGCAACACTGGTTGTATTATTTGGTGATAGATATGAATCCTTATGATAAACTTCCATTGAACACCCTTTCTTTCCACATATGTCTTGTTTGCCTTGACATTACACTGTTATATATTTACAGTGTTACACAAGTGAATGCACAAAGGACAATGTCTATTATAATTCGAATAATTTACACTCGATTATGTACATTAACAGAATATCTGGTACATAAGTTGTTCACCAGGAGTCGCTGTTGGATAAGACAAGCTTCTGGTTCCCCCACTCCATCTGTTTACATCTCTGAGCTGATGAGAGGAGAGAGAGTGCATGAGATTCTGTCTGATCACTCTTCTGACTGAGCAAGAGCAGCTTGGCCTACAACTTTGTTCATTTACTTAATCAAAATGTAAACATTATTGTCAATACAAACATTATTAGCACATTTATATAATGAATGGAGAATACACATGTGAGAGTGCATTAAATTAAGTAAGTATGTATGTGCATATTTTTTTTTATAATTCCCATACAGCATAACAAAACAAACAGGGTTCAATTTGAAAAGGGGTTGGACAAAGAAAATGCTTATTGGGCATTAATGAGGTGGTATCAAAATTGGTGTACCATATCTCAGGCTGTCAAGTTATATGAAAAAAAAAATTCCAATGTGAATTTAATACCATACATATCCAAAAGTAGGGTTCACTTGTTTACCTACTTAGTCCCAGTTAAGACCTTTAACTCATGGCTTAGACCTGGTTTTAATCTGATTTACACTCTATCCTATTTTCCCGTTTAACCAATGTTTTGGATTTAGCGGGAGACTAAATTCTGTTAAAAGTGGTACTTATCCAGCCCAAAGTCCAAGATCCCCCCCTCCCTATGTTCTATGTGTGTGTGTTGTTGTTGTTGTTGTTGTGTAACACTGCAGCAAATACATAACAATAAGATGAATTCACATGGTTGCACATCAATTAGTGAGGACCATTTATAATGCATTTATACAGATGAAAAGGTACACGCCGTTCCAGTGTTGTACATATCATTATGACGCTGAATATGGCTGTAGTTTTTCCCCAAACAGGTTTCAGTTAAGACCAAAAGCCAAATGCAACAGTGCAATCAGAATGAGTTGGTTTGGGATTTATTGCCGCCAATGAAATTCTTAAGAGGCAGTGTGGTGCAATCCCTCATTCCTCCAGGAGTTAAGTTTCAAAATATAAATCTGTGATGGTCCCAATGAAATTAAAGTATATTGCTATTTGAACTTGTACCGACATCTGTCTGAGGGCATTAAGGTCCAGTCTAGAGTTTTGATTGCACTAAAGTTTAACCCATGCAGCATGTTGGCCAGTTCTGGTGTTAAGTTACGTGATAATAAGGTCATTGTCTGCATCCCATTGTTTCAATCGCTGCAACACTGTTTTAATCCTCTTCTTTTTGTGAGTCCATGAGCTCTACTGCCAGAGAACACGAGAGATTGTCAGTGTGGTCGGAGAGTGATCAGTGACCGTGGCTCATGTGGACTCTGAGTTTGACAGCTCTGACACCAGCTCCAGCGGATTCAGTTGTTGTGCTCTTGGAGAAGGCACAACATCCATGTCTATTGGTCAGTGCCTTGAAAGTGATTTTTATTGTTCAAGTATTGAATCTACTTTTGACCCGTCCTTCCAATGCTGATTCTAGGGCAACCTGACGAGAACGGTGGTCGAGAATCTATCTCCAGATGTTGAGCGTGGCTTGGTCAGGAGTCAGGACTACTGTCACTGGATGGTTTTGAAAATATCGTTCAAAGTCTTAATCACTGAAGCTGCAGAGACTGATCAAAAAACCCTCCCAGGACCTCCAGTAAAAAAAAAATCTAACTATTTTGAATCCTTTGAAACAAACTGAAATTACACAATCAACCAAAATTACAATTATTTGCTTTGTAAAAGGTGTTATCGATGGATCCTTTTAATATTTGTATTTGTTGAGAAATTTAGAAAGTTGTTCATTTCTCCCTTTCTGTGGTGTTGGCATCCTTGTTGTCAGCCCCCCTGTACCTCTAAGAGCCCCCAGTGGGCCCCGGACACCACTTTAGGAAGCTATAACACAAACAAAACAACCTTGCACATACAATTTTCAGTAATTACTATAATTACTGTTATAGTGTACGAGCTTGTGTGCATGTCTCTCCATGGCCTTGCACCAAAGTACGTCCGTAACAAACTTTGACACTGGGACTGGCCTCCTGCTGGTGCTCAGAATCAGGGCTAAACATGGGGAGGCAGCATTTCAGATTTAAGCAGCTGAAATTTGGAATCAAGGGTCTTCCTAAAAATAGGAGACAGGCTTTGCTTTTTGACAATATTCAAATCCAGGTTAAAACAGTTCTGTTTAGCTGTGCATACAACTGAGGGATTGCATCTTCACTCGTCTTAATGCACTGTGATTATTTATGATTTCATTTCCTTGTACTTTGAGTTGCCTTGTGTATGAACTTTGCTAACAGATTTACTTGCCTTGCCTTATTAGTTTTCCCCCACAAATGCTGACATGCGAAAAAAGCGAAAGACAAATTGGCAAAAACAATTAGTGTTTGATATGTGTTGGGTCGAAACCTCCTGGCCCCACTCGACTTCATCAAAAATCGCATTAGCCTCTCTTCCACCACTCTCCTACCTCCCAGACTGACAGCTCCCAGGCCTCACTGCTCCATCTGCGGCCTTGGGGTAGAACTCATTACCTGTGACGGCATAATTATTATCATCATTATTTTCCTTAACAAAGCCTGGAGCTGATTTACTGATCGAGCGATTGCCAAAATCTGTGTCAGGAAGTGATGTCACCAAACCCGGCCATCCAGCTCTGTAAAGGTCAGAGCTTGTTGAAAAGTAGAGAATGGAGAAAATATTCTGTTCCATTGTAGCCCATTATTCTCTTCCTGGGAAGTGAACGTGTGTATTTTTTTTGTGTGGGGGGAGACGTCCGATTTACTGGAGAATTCCCAGATGTGCTATTTTACATATTTTTGAACCTCTGCTTTCTCAAGGTAAGGCTTTTTAGATGTCTCTCACACTCAATCATCATCAGCGCAGTGTGGGAGCGAGGAGGGGGAGGAGTGCACGGCGTTCAAACGGAGCCAGAGGCAGAGCTCCGCGGCGTCAAAGCCAAAAAATGTCCAGGGTGAAGCTTTGTCAACCTCTCCGCACTGTACTCCCTTTGTAAAAGACTTAAAGCCGGGCTTGTTCGGCTGCATGGGAGTCTGTAAGGCACATTTTTCATTCATGTTACCACACACAACATGTCATTATTGCCTATTGGCCCTTGAAAACCTACAGGGCAAAGGTTGTCATTCATCATATTGGATTAATGGTTTATTATAGCCAACTTGATCTGACTTTACAATGTTTTCTTAGGATAGAAATGTACGACAAAGATGAACAATTAGTAAAACAAAAACTTTGTTGTGATCGGGACAATTATTAACATTTAAAATAAGAAGTGATTACATTTTGAAGGGGATCCGATTCACCGTCTGGAGGCAGGATATATTTTAAAATGAATGGAACTGCACGTTTATAAAAGTGCGGACAGTGATTTTCTGCTTTGAATGGGTTTGCATCTGCACACCTGACTTGTGTTTTTACTTTAATACCATGACGTTGTATCGATCAATCAAATCTCTGTATGAAGCACAATACATACATCCCAAAGTGCTTCACAAGCTAAAATCCATACATTTGAATGAAAAGAACAGAGAATATTCCATAGTATGATTTCATTTTCATGGACTCATGCTGGTAATGTTCCACCTTGAGAAAGTTGGGCATTTGGCTTTACAATTGCAACGTTGCTTTGGATGAAAAGAAACTCAAGACTCAAGACAGAGATGTTTATTGAGTATGATTGTGGCTGTATGTTTAGGCAATGTCGGCCCATCGGTCCCGTCGGATCCATGATGTGGTACTTCGGATTTGCAGCATTTGTGACATAAAATTCTATTTCAAATGTGGATAATAAATCCCAGCAGAAATGAGACATACACAGGAAGGAATTCTTACATAG